AGTCTCTCAGCTCAGAGCTGCATCCATCAGCGACACGGTCAGCTCGGCCTCTCAGGACGTTCGCACTGAGACTCCGCAGGACTCCTCGATAGGAGGCAACCCATGCTTTCCTGCCTTTGGGGCATTCGCAGTGGCCACCTTTGCTCTTCAAATCCTCTCTGAGCCACCCAAGGCACCACACCAAGAATCTCTCCTGCCTGGATGCAGAACTTGCGCGTGGCGGTCTGCGATAAGTTTGGTCCCACTGCCTCAGCGTCATGGTCATGCCCCGACTTCTTGACAACTTCTTGGTACAGAACCTGGCACGGCCCGAGCCCTAAATGCTACATCTCATCCGAGTTTGGACCGAATGCCCTCGAGTCATCATCCGGCAGTCAGCGCTTGCAAACAGAAGAAGAGCTGCATCGGACAACCCAGTGCCCGAACGCCGTACAGAAGCGTGAGCGCGTGCCGCAGTGTTGCACTTGTGTTATGTGACGACTGTTACGTCGCTCGTTTGCGAGGTGACTTGGGGACTTGAGGCTGCCGGCCTTGGCAAGCCAAATCAGTTGCACCTCCTCCGCCGGGATGCTGACCTGACAAGGGCAGAAAAGCATGATCGCCTTGGCAGAACTCGCCATGGAAACAAGTGGAGCACGTGTGGCTCTCGTAGAGGAATGAGGCTGGCGCCGCCCCCATCTCGACATCTCCTGGCAGCTCCTCCCATGTGAAGGCATTGCACCATTCAACTCTACAGCAATCGCAGCACTATACAGTAATCAATATGGGTGCAAAACTAAGAAGCTGTGACACGCGCCATCGATACTGCAACGATTCGTGCCTCAGCCTCCGAGCCGTCGGCATTCGTGGAACCTCTTGAGCTGCTAAAAGCAGTGAAGAAATGCAAGACCCTACTGCATTTGTCCGAGGGTTGCGCGAATTGCAAGGAGGAGGGCAAGCACCTGAGCATAAACAAAATCCTCTTGGGAAAGAGGAGCCTGACTTCAGAGAGTACCCCCCAGCAAAACAGAGCACAACACACTCCATCTGTAAGAAGGCAAGATGCAAGGAGCCGGCCATCGGACGAGCCGTCCTGCCAACGCAGCCCGTTTCTTCGCGCAGGAAGTGATCACGAACACTGCAGTCTACCGCAGTCCTTCTTGTCGGGCTGAAATGCCAGGCGAACAAGGAGCAGCCAGCAGAAAGCTTGGACCTAATTAGATTCTTCGCACGCTCAGAAAAACTCAAGTACATGCTGAACCCTGGCACAAAAGCCCATGCGGGGCGCGGGCCATGCCACTTGTGCACCTCTTCCGTCAAGGCAACACAGAGAAAGTAAAAACACTTCTTTGAGCGATCCAAAACTTGTGCAAAATTGTGCGAATGGCGAGGAGGGCACCATTTGAGAAACGGCACACGAAATGCCTCGCGAATCGGTGGCTGTAGCCGAGCCGACCTTACGACAAGAGCAAAGAAGAAAACTAAAAGAAAATCTGCATGGTTTGAAATGCTCTGGGATGCTCCGAGCTCTGGGCTCCTCTATCCAAGTCGACAGATCGCCACCGCGTGCCTTCCACCCATTGGGCTCAGCCAAGACAGGCGTATTTGGAACTCATCAGTCCAGCGGCTTTCATGGCTGCAATCAAGTTCTCCTCCACTTTCTGCTGCTCACCTCAAACAGAACTGGAGCATTCTAGAGCACGCACGGACTAGGCCGCTAGGCATCGGACTCCACGAAAACAAGTGGAAGTAAGGGTCCACCGCAGACCACCTGAAGAGGGCACGGGGACACATGAGCTGACATGACCTAGGTACGTACAAGCAAGCTGCTGGTCGTCTTTGAGGTGGTACCTCAAAGTTGATGCTGGATACAGCAGGGCAACATCCAGGCAACGTGATGGGAGCACTTTGCAGGATTGTGGCCGCTGCCGTCTGCTTCAGAAAAGGAGCTGATTTCCCGCAGAGCAGCCTCAAGCCTGAGGTGTTCCGCATGCTCTCGATGCACTGTATTGCACCGTGCATCCCAGATAGCCCCGAGGACCCAGCATCTGCTGGTCCTTGGCAGTGGCCGTGGCAGTCGAGCCTTGCAAGAAGCGCGAATCCGAGGTCTACTTTCGGGGGGCAGCTTGGAAGGTTCGGCGATCTGAGAGCGCGCACGTTCCAGGCGAGGATCCCAGAGCTGGGAATGGCTCTTGGGCCCCACGCTCAGGAACTGCCTGCTCTGACCACACGCAACGGGAAGGCCCAGCTGGCCCAGCTGACGCACAAGACAACACGGCACACTGACGAAGAGGAACGAAACGCATGGAAAACATGACAAAGTTCGGCAAACCTCGCCCAGCATCCCGAACTGAAGCCTCATGCAACTGCGCTATGCCTGTGCCCCCCTCTCTCCTCTCCCACTCACCATCATCGGAATTCCTGCCTAACCCTTAACCTCAGCCTACTACTGTACACTCTCGCTCAATGTGTTTTCGAGGGGTTGTACACATTCTACGGACATGAGGTCCTCTCTTTCCCACGAGGATGCGCCTAACTTGGTTAGGACATGCTAGGACATGTTAGGACGATAGGAGATGCAGGGTACCCTGGACGCAAAAGTGCAACATGCACGCTCTCATTTTCCTCTTCTCTTTGATCTGGTGCACAAGTTCGTTGCTATATATGTCCTCTCCCACATGACAATCAAGCTACGCGCACGGTTTTGACTCGACCCTGCCTGGTTGTGTGCGTCACCAGTTGCGGCCAGGTCAAGGCCAGGTGCGTGTTCCGGCTGAGGAGCTGGTACAGACTCGGCGCACAGGCAAGCTGAAACAGCGCTGAGCTTCTCCATTCTGACATGGACGGGTGGTCGCATGGCAGTCGCATGGCAGCTGGGCACCCATGTTTTGGTTTGGTGAGGAAGTGCCAGAGACCTGTGAGACCTTGCGCCTCTCCCAAGAAATGTCCAAGATTTGTTACATTTACACTATCATTAGCATTCCTCACAGCGCAAAGCCGCTGACAAAAGGACGAAGCTCTGCAACTTCATCATCGCAAACTCCTTGTCACGACCCGAACGCGACGAAGGCTGGATGACGGCAAGTCGGGAAACGCTCCTGCTCCGGCTCAATCCCCCCAAGGAGCCTCGGAATCGCAGAGTCCCCATGCTCGGAGCCCGCAGAGTTCTCACTGCAGGCTGTCCGGCTGTCCTTGCAAGTGGATCTCCGGGGGCCAACCAGCTGCCAAGCTCGAACCTTGGCAACCGCTCGCAGCGGCAAGATTCGGGCAACACATTCGGGCAACACGCGTAGCATCACGCGGTATCTGATGCCTAAGACAACGGCCTCTTTAAGGTCACTCGGAAAAAGATCTCCGGCCTGGTGAGGGTGTCACGGCCGAGCAGCACCGAGCAACGAAATGCCGACATTCTTGTGTCGAGCACAAGTGCTACGCTGCTGCACACAAGGTGGGGGCCTAAGGGCAAGAGCGGCCATGCGCAGAGCCAACAAATCCACGTCTATCAGCAGGTGGTGCCTGGGTCACTCTTCGTTGGTTTTAGCCGGCATGCGGCAATTCCGAAGAGGACAGGACCAGTAGTTCATCCTGTAGAACTCACTCTCGTGCTCGAGCGCCTGATATGCTGCTTCAGCCGACAACCTGCTGCCCCCACACGAAATGATGTCGAGCTTGGCCTCTCCATTTCGTTTCCACATGCCGGCCATCCTGAGTTTCGAGGGGCATGGCTGTGAGAAACAGGCGCGAGCCATTGAAGCAGTCCGCCTAGTCGCCTTTGCTTATCCCGCAGAATATGATAAGAACACTTTTCAGCGAAAGGTACGCTTGCCAGTGGAGAACAAGAGCCCGAAGAGGATGCTCCATCCTGGGCATGGCGAAAAAGCCGACTGCTGCAACTGTACAACAGTGAAGCCTGCACGCATGAGAGAGAGAGAGAATGCATCAGAGTATATCAGGGTGCATACTGAGGCCGAGTCCACCAAAGGATATCAGATTCAGCTGCCATTCCAACAGTACTGAAGACCTCTACAAGGAGCACAGCGCCTGAGGGCCCAAGCGCTCTGATCTCACCTACCGCACAGCACAGGGCCTGCTCCACCAAGCTGTTGCCACACGCTGGTGTCAAAGCGCCTGGGGACGCTTTAAGAACCCCCGAGGCCCACACGTCACGCTTGCGAGACTCAGCAAGCTCTTGACATGGCCCACCGTCTCTCGAGCGCCGCACGAATGCAGAGCTGGTGCAACAAGAATGCCAAGACCTTTGCCAGCGGATATCCGCGGATCGCACTCAATCGCGGTTTGCACACCCACAACAAGAGCCTAGCAAGTGTGAAGACATGCTAGGACCGTTGAGATGCGGCTAAGACCTGCACCCGGTTGACAGGAACGTGGAAGCTGGTGCCCCGCGACACCTCATACTCATACTGAAGTTACGAAAGTTACGCTGAAGTTACGAAAGTTACGCTGAAGTCGTTAAAGCACCAACTGATGCAGAGACTGGGAAGGGCTCCACCTGTTAAACGGTGGTCGGTGAAGGGAAAAACGGGGAAGTGGGGGGCGGTGATTAAAGCTCGGAGGCCTCGTAGTCAAAGGCGCCTTCCATTGCGGCCGCGCCGACCTTCAGTTATTTTCTTCGTGCAATTGCTGCGGGACCCGTGCAAAATCACAAAAGAAGATCAGTGATGTCGGAAAACAAGAAGAAAAATAAACGTACTCCGCGGGTGATCCAAAGCCAAGGCGGGCACACGGCCTTCGGCTCTGTGCACCTTCGTTGAATTTCGGGAACCCCGAGCAACACAAGCCAGCTCTCTGCCTGCCTCAGAGCCACACCATCAGTCACACCCACATCCCTCCTATGCCCACCTGCACCATCCAGCTGCGCAGCTCGTGCCAGGCAAGCTGCCTGGGATCAAGGCACACTGTTTTCGACCCCCATGCCCATGCACTCGCGGCGTCTAAGGGGTTTGCGCCATCTCTTTGACTGATTCGAGCTCGGCCTCTCAGAAGAACCTTCTTTTCTGCCATCACACTTCTTGAACAATCTCTGCCTTGAACTCAATAGCATCCAGGATCAGCCACGTGTTCGACCTGGGAACAGTTACAAAATGTACAAGCCAATTTCGGGCCCTGTCACGCGTCTCCAGCTCAGCTGCAGGCCCGAGATCCGTGTGCAGAGTAAGCGCATTCCCCCAGGAGGGGCTAGTGAACCTGCGCCAGAGACAACAAAACTGAGGGCTCATCAGACAAGACTTCAAGCCTAAGCGCGGCACTCCACATGGTTGACACTGCGCCGCTTGTGTAGGTTCATGGCCTTCGGAGCAGGGCCACCACAAAAGCAGAGCGATCCATCCCTCCCGGCCTGCATGGAAATCAGAATCTGAATCCAACCAGCCCACAACTCTCCACGCAACACCGGTGAGCGAATGATCTCCCACCTCGCAAGTACACTGCATAAAGCATGACCCTTGCATGCCACACCATGTGGGTGGGGTGTGTCCCGCAGCCAGCCGCCCTTTCCGAAAACGCAATTTTGGGGGGGAGCTTGCGAGACAGCTTTGGTGAGCTGCGCAGCAGCTTTTAAGCTTTCCAGGCGCCTAAGTGTAGCTCGATCGCCTCTCTTAGGTCTGTTCACAGTTGCACCTACGCAGGAATGACACATGCCGATCCCCTGGAAGCCTACATCCTCTATTGTGCACCTTCTCTGGTCGGCAACGACATATCGGAAAACAGGAGACAAGGAGAGGCAGAGAGTGCTTCTTGGCCAGCAGCTGCCATGTGTTGATCGGCTTGGGAGCCCACGCAATGTCCGAATGATCCAGCACGTACAACAGATCCATCGAACACCTAGGGAAGCACTGGGAAGCACTGCTGGGAGTCTTTGCCGCCTACGATTCGCATATCAGACATCATATGAGGCGTTTGCTGAATGATCTCGTGGTCACGGAAGATGTTCGACTCATGGTTGAAAACCGGAGGGGCTGAGTCCTTGACAAGCCTGGGCCATCGCACTGCGCCAGCTCTCCACACAGGATTCAAGATCTTCTGTGCGAATAGCAATTGCTCGAGCTACCGAGCAGAGTCGCCTGCATGAGCAGTGACCGTTTGTAAGAAGCGAACGCTGGACGCAGGAGCCCCCAAAGACACTCCAGCCTTAGTAAACACCCACACGCAACGACGCTCCAGCCTTACAAACGCGCACGCGAATTTGAGTAACAGGGCCTGACCGGTACCCACCCACTGGATCAACATCGCACACCATGGGCCAAGAAGGGGTGACCCCTTAAACACGATAAAAGCACCATCCAAACAACTAACCCCAAAAACAGATGAGACACATCAAATACGAATTCACAGGAAAATCTCTATTTCCTTTGTGAACTTTTATGCGTTAATGGGAAAACGTGTTGTGTATCTGCTCTGTGTCCTCTACAGTTTGCTATACTTTGACAGGAGAACATCTAGCCTAGTTCCTCTGCATGCTCCTGTATTTACCTATTTCCTCAGTTTAGAGTCGTTGAAAACCTCGCGCTTAAGGTGTTTCTTGGGCTTTGGTGGGCTTGGTGTAGGGCGTGGCTGTTGCTTGCAGCTACCTGCCACACCCTGCTAAACCCTATGGCTTCTAAGCGTGTGCAGAAAACTTCCATTTCCTCTAAACCTCGGCTTCCTTGTGCGTGCGACACAAGAACGGATCGGAAACCTGTGTTCGATTCTATTTCAGTCGCAAACCTCCAGTCTGCAGCACAATAGTCTAGGCATGCAAAAGTGTGTGTTTTGGCCCCGGGGGGGGGTCGCAGCAGGGATCCCTTGATCCCTGAACGCTCCCTGATGGAAACCTCGCATAAGGTCAGCAGACCACCCACGGGTTGCCATGATGGGCTGCAGACAGCGTCTTCACCAGGTCCTTCTCACGAACCAGCTCCATCGTGACATCCTCACAATAAGGAGATTTCCCAAAATAGGGTGCCCTTTTTAGGGGGGAGTCCTGGTTTAGAAGGCTTGGACGATTTTTGGGGTAAATAGAAATTACGGGTGCCCTCGGCAACCCTCCCCCCCCTTCCCTCCAGAGATCTCGCCCAAACAAAGCCCCCAAGAAGGAGGCGCCTGTCGGGTGAAGATCTGACACGTGAAGTCTCCCAGCCTCACACATGGAAAAAACGCGGAAAAGGAGAACTTTTTAACGCCACAAGAAACACACACGCCACACATTGCGCAGATTTTGTACAAGAAGACAGAGGTCCGAGTTCCAATCTCATTGGTGTCTGTGTTGCCTTCCTCGGGCAGACTGCCAAATCCCAAGCTCACAACACCACTGCCCACTTCAAACCGGGTAGGGCTGGCTCCCGGTTGCGCACCATCTCGGGATACAGCGAGGTAAACACCTCCCAGGCAAACATCAAGCAAACACCGAGGCAGACTTGGGGCACGCATCATATGCCGTGCCTGCGCGAAGCGGTGCTTGAAATCCAAGTCCAGCATGAGATCCACCATGAGGTTGGTCCTTACAGGTAAAGAGGCCCTGAAAGGCTCAGAGAGGACTTGTGGATGCGAGAGAGCACCTCTTACTCTGAGCCACCCAGCTCCAGCTTGCGCACCGAGGGCTCCATCAAATGCGAATGCCTCAACCCAGGCCCGTAATTACACACACTACACAACACAAGATACACACAGCTAGCAGAGAAGAGTACAAAAGAAGAAGTGCTGGCAGCTCGGCCTGAGCAAGACCTCCACGGCACTTTGGCCCTGCAAAATCGGAGAGCTCCAAAGGAGAATATCACTCAGGGAAATGGCAGGAAAATACAAGAGGAATACAAGTATGTGCTCCAAATATTGCCAAACTGTTCAGGTACCGCCTGGACAAAGAGGCTTCGGTCCAAAAAGACCTGCAGGGACCCTGCATCGACTCTGCCGCGTTTGCCAGAAGCAGGGGGGGCATCCGTAGCCTGGCCAATGATCTTGCGGAGACCATCCTCGTGACTTCGGAATGAAGCAGCTGCTAAAAAAAAACAGTTTCTAGTTGTTGTAGAAGCTCCACAGTTCCAACATATTCCACATTCTTTCAACTTGTCCCGAGGCTCCGACATGAAAGCCACCTAAGTTCAGCAGCCACTCGAAGTTGGTCTCCAATGCCTCTCCGTGCTCCCAAAGCCGCAACAGAAAGGATGATGTCGTCGCTTCTGTTCTTTGCATGTGGCCCAGCGTTGCTTAAGTTGCTTATCCCGACCTGTAAATGCTTCTCTGCCAAAGCAATCGCAGATGGACCCACATGCATGCGCAAGGGGCTGCCACCTGATCGCCGCTGACACGCGTGCAAGTTTCAGAAAGAAACAAGCAAGTTGCATGACAGATCACTTTGGGGACCCCACGGAGAGACTCGCCGCTGGCACCAACGAGCGCCATGACCCCGGCCTGCGCAGACCGCACTTTTTTTCACCCAGAGCCAGCAGAGCTGAGGGTGGTAGACTATGACTCTGGAAGGCTATTGGAAGCTCGTCTGAGCAGTCGATTTTTCAAGCACAGACACCACATTCGAAGATCCCCAGGCGCCGCTGTCATGCGCCGCTGCGCGGGCAAGGCTGCAGACATCTCCGAGAATGTGGTGAGACCCCGCGCAAACCCTGATTCAGGGTTTGCACCGTGTACACAGGGTGCACAGAGCCTGCAGCTCAAGCTCCGGCTCGGCATACCTGCAATGAAAATATTGCCAGGTCTTTCGAAACATTGAAGCGAAGTAGAAGGACGCTGCATGACAGCGCTACCTGTCAGAACAGTGCTCCAGTGTTAAACCGAATGCAATGCACAGCAGCCCGGCACCTGCTCAGCATGCGCACGCTGATGCACCTAGTGCTGGTCCGATGCAACTCGTGTATCAGGACACGGACAGCCACCCACGTTGACCCGTGTGCTCTCTTGGTTCTGGTGATCAGCCATTTCCGAATCCCTCTACAGGCAGCGACATGTGTTTCACTGCGTCGAGGCACTGCATCTAGCCCGTCGACGACCTACGCGAATGATAGCCAAAAGCAACTACAGAACACACATGTTGGCGCAAGACGCTGCTGAGCAGCTGGCCTTGTCCGATACCCCGGTGCTTCCAAAGCCGCCACTGCCTCGCAGCGTCTCGTCCAGGGTCCTGGAATCCGAAGTTTGAAGCGTTAGAATGCCACGCCCCAAGTGAAACTTCATAAAAATGTCCCCACGAACAACAAAGCGCAACAGTCATTAGAATCACTTGTGGAGGAGGGGGAGGGGAGAAAGGGGGGGAGATGGGGTGGAGGGGGCAGAGGGAGGGGGAGCCCCCACTGGCCAACAACAAGTGAGGAAAGCTTAAATGAAATCCACCCACACGCCACCACCGGGTGGAGGTGGGCAATAGGCACTAAACGCCCCGAGCCCTTGAAGGTTTGCAGGAAGCAGGCTTTCCCAGCTGACCCTACGCTACTGCACCCCTTCGACCAAGTTCCTGCTGGCAATAAGATGGCAGTTGCCAGCAGCCGGCGAGGACGACGCAGCATTGTATGGGCACATGAAAAAATGCCAACACTTTTGAAACTGGATCACAAGGTGACAATCTGGGACTCTAGCAACATGCAACCCGCATGCGCAAGTGAGTACTTCTGCCGAGGCGCTCCACTTCCTGGCAACCAACGGTGCTGATCTTCCTCAAACGTTCACGCGCATTTCAGTGACTGCTGCAAGCCACATGCAAACCACGCACATGCATGCCTAAGTGCAACCGCAGGAACTCCAGAATCAGCTGCGCAATCCGGTCGCCAATGGCGACGGAGAAGTCCTGATGGGATCTGAGAAAACCGCAAGGGAACCCACATGCAATCCTGCAGTACCGGGGCGGGTCCTCGGCGCCGTGGTTGAAGAGGACCACACCAACCTGCACTATGTTGCCGTGGACAGCGACCACCTCTGGCAAACATGGAGCAGGCGGCGCACACCTCCCCACGGTAGTCATAGTCCACCACGCCTGCTCCAGCCTGTATCCTCAGCCACCAAGAAGGAGGTGGGAAGCTCCACGTCACATTCCCACGCTGCAGCCAAGGGTCATCTTCTTCACCGCAAGACCAGAGCGTGGCGCGACCCGGGCGTAGGTGCCCTGACCGCACACAACTGACCAAGCCCCTCTCCCACTGCCCCAGCCCTGTTTCCAGTAATGTCGCCATCTCAGATCTGCATCGCTACGAATGTCACTGCGAGTGACACCGAAAGAAGCACCAAAAACATGCGCAAACATGTGCAAAGGACAGACCCGTGGACACACCTCGCCTCCGGAATGGCAATAGACAGGCCGGTCTTCACGACGCCCTCTCATGATCACGTGGTGTTATGCAGGGCTATCCCACGCGAGATAGCACGAGATAGCCCAGGGCTGCATCAAAACGCAACTGACTCACGATCCCAACCTTGCCGCCGGCGGGGATCACTGTCTCTTCTGCAGCCGACAAGTCAAAGCCGGCTGCTGCCTCATACCGCGCAACACAAACTGTCTTTCTATTGGACTGCAACTTCCCGACTTCGGCGTTAGCCCCTTGCGGCTGAGCGGCGGCGGAACCGCGCACTGGCAAGACGGCTGCTGCGCTGAGCCTCTTCACCCGCATGGCCTCAGAGCAACTGCAGCAATCTTCCGCCAGCAGATGGCTCAGAGACGCATTCTCGTTCCACGTTCAAAAACCAGATGGCCTTGCCTCGGGCGTTGGAATGGCCGGAGCCTCATCTTCTCAAGTACGGCCATGGCATAACCCCGACGCCACAACTGCGACAACTGCGGAGGAACCGAGGTGTGTACCACATCCACACGTGGTCCCGTTTGCTCTCTTTCAACCTTGCAGCCACATAAGGCAAGGCACGTATGGCGCTGGCTTCTGCACTGGCGCATCTGGCAAGCAGTCTGGCAGCACGCCTTGTCCGACACCCCTGTGCTTCCAAAGCCGCCACTGCCTCGCTGGGTCTCGTCCAGACACCTGAAAGCTCCACTGGCAAAGCCCTGTCCCGTCATGTCCCGCCTAGATTTGCGCGGACGTACGTTTCTGGTCGGAGGCGCTGCTGACTAGCCGGACAGACAACGAGTGCACCGAAGGTTTTGCACTTCCCGCTGACACTGCAAGCCTTTTAAGCTAAAGCAATCAGGGCTTCAGGTGTCCTCAACAAACCTGAACGTCCCGCAAGCTCACATGCGCTGCGAGTTGTCAAGGCTTCGGGTACGGGTCGGCTGCTCCCCCCGACATCTTCTTCCTCGACCCGCGGTCGCTTGTATCTGATTTTAGGGGTGTGCCAGCAGTGGTGTTTGGTTACGGGGTTTCGGGGCCACTTGTAAGTTTGAAAGCTTGACTCTAAACTGTCTGCAAACTATACACTATTATAAGAATCGATATGTCCTTGTGAGTGCACGTAACGAAGGCCATTAATGTGTGCCACTTGCCCGGGGGCGAGGTCCTGCAAAAAGGCAGACGGGTTTGCCTCTCACCCATCCCCGAAGAACCTACGACTCTCACATGCAGATTCGGGAAACTGGAAAGTGTGGATTCGAGAAACTGCGGACTCGGGAATCGCGAAGTTTTCTGAAAGCACCTTGGACATGAATATTATCATAACCCGATCCCACACACCTCCTGCCCAACCCACCCCCTAGCTTGGGCAGTTTCCTGAATCGCGCGGTTTCCTGAGTCGAGCAAAGCCACCGTCCTAAATCGGACTAGACCACAGAGTTTCCGAATCGCGCTCCGTGCCACCAATGCGCATTGAGCAAATTGTGTGCCCCATGCCCATACCGATGAGAACGTCAGCAACAGGGGTGGTTGGGGGGGCCGGGGGGGCGGGGAGGGGGGAAGGGGTGGGAAGGGGGGAAGGGAGATGGTGGGGTGGAGGGGGGGGGGGGGGCCGGCCAACAAAAAGTGAGGAAAGCTTAAAATGACACCCACACGCCCACCGGGTAGAGGCAGGCAACAGGCACCAAACGCCCTGAGCCCTTGAAGCATCGCAGGAAACAGACTTTCCGAGCTGACCCTCTTCACCCGCCACATGCATAAACGGGCCAAGTTCCTGAACTTGAAACTGGATGACAAGGTGACAATCTGGGACTCCAGCAACATGCAACCTGCATGCGCAAGTGAGTACTTGTGCCGAGGCGCTCCACTTCCTGGCAACCAACGGTGCTGATCTTCCTCAAACGTTCACGGGCACTTCAATGACTGCTGCAAGCTAGATGCAGACCATGCACATGCATGCCTAAGTGCAACCGCAGGAACTCCAGAATCAGCTGCGCAATCCGGTCGCCAATGGCGACGGAGAAGTCCTGATGGGATCTGAGAAAACCGCAAGGGAACCCACATGCAATCATGCAGTACCAAAACGGGTCCTCGGCGCCGTGGTTGAAGAGGACCACACCAACCTGCACTATGTTACCGTGGACAGCGACCACCTCTGGCAAACATGGAGCAAGCGGCGCACACCTCGCCACGGTAGTCATAGTCCACCACGCCTGCTCCAGCCTGTATCCTCAGCCACCAAGAAGGAGGTTGGAAGCTCCACGTCACATACCCACACTGCAGCCAAGGGTCATCTTCTTCACCGCAAGACCAGAGCGCGGCGCGACCCGGGCGTAGGTGCCCTGACCGCACACAAGTGAATCGCTGCGAATGTCACTGCGAGTGACAGCGCAAGCGGCACACACATGCGCAAACATGTGCAAAGGACAGACCCGTGGACACACCTCGCCTCCGGAATGGCAATAGACAGGCCGGTCTTCACGACGCCCTCATGATCAAGCGTTGTTATGCAAGGCTTCCCAGACGAGATAGCACGAGATAGCCCAGGGCTGCATCAAAACGCAACTGACTCACGATCCCAACCTTGCCGCCGGCGGGGATCACTGTCTCTTCTGCAGCCGACAAGTCAAAGCCGGCTGCTGCCTCATACCGCGCAACACAAACTGTCTTTCTATTGGACTGCAACTTCCCGACTTCGGCGTTAGCCCCTTGCGGCTGAGCGGCGGCGGAACCGCGCACTGGCAAGACGGCTGCTGCGCTGAGCCTCTTCACCCGCATGGCCTCAGAGCAACTGCAACAATCTTCAGCCAGCAGACGGCTCAAAGACGCATTCTCGTCCCACGTTCAAAAACCAGATGGCCTTGCCTCGGGCGTTGGAATGGCCGGAGCCTCATCTTCTCAAGTACGGCCATAGCAGAGCCCCGACGCCACAACTGCGACAACTGCGGAGGAGGCAAAGGGAGAGGGAGGGAGAGAGCGAGAGGGGGGGCGTTGCGGGTCCGAAACCGAGGCGTGTGCGACATCTGCGCGCGGTCGCTTCTGCTCTCTTTCAACCTTGCATCAACACAAGGCAAGCAACAGAAGGCAAGCCTTGTATAGGCGGGGCTCTTGGCACTGGAGCATCTGGCAAGCAGTCTGGAAGCACGCCTTGTCCGACACCCCTGTGCTTCCGAAGCCGCCACTGCCTCGCTGGGTCTCGTCCAGACACCTGAAAGCTCCACTGGCAAAGCCCTGTCCCGTCATTGTCCCGTCCCACCTAGATTTGCGCGGACTCATGTTTCTGGTCTTAGTCAGTAGCTCAGCTTGAGAAGCCCTCTTGCATACCTACAGCAACTCACGCAAGCATTGATACAGTTTAACAATCCTGCTGTTTAGTAGGATGTGGAATCCCTGAAAGGTCCACTAAACGCCCTGAGCAAGGTTTGCAGGAAACAGGCTTTCCGAGCTAACCCTCCGCCAGAGCTCATCTGCACCCACCAACATGCATGAGCGGGCCAAGTTCCTGCTGGCAATAAGACGGTGGTTGCCAACAGCCGGCGAGGACGAGGCAGCATTGTATGGGCACATGATGTATATATTCCTACGAAATTAAAACTGGATCACAAGGTGACAATCTGGGACTCTAGCAACATGCAACCCGCATGCGCAAGTGAGTACTTCTGCCGAGGCGCTCCACTTCCTGGCAACCAACGGTGCTGATCTTCCTCAAACGTTCACGGGCACTTCAATGACTGCTGCAAGCTAGATGCAAACCATGCACATGCATGCCTAAGTGCAACCGCAGGAACTCCAGAATCAGCTGCGCAATCCGGTCGCCAGTGGCGACGGAGAAGTCCTGATGGGATCTGAGAAAACCGCAAGGGAACCCACATGCAATCATGCAGTACCAAAACGGGTCCTCGGCGCCGTGGTTGAAGAGGACCACACCAACCTGCACTATGTTACCGTGGACAGCGACCACCTCTGGCAAACATGGAGCAGGCGGCGCACACCTCCCCACGGTAGTCATAGTCCACCACGCCTGCTCCAGCCTGTATCCTCAGCCACCAAGAAGGAGGTTGGAAGCTCCACGTCACAGACCCACGCTGCAGCCAAGGGTATCACCACCCCTTAAGAAAAACACCGGAGGGGGGGGGGGGGACCCCCGCAGTTTTTTTTCGATTGGGGTCCTGGGGGGTTCGGTGTTTTTCCCTTGGTTTTCGCACCCGCACCTCGCCCAAAACCGAAGCCGAAAAACATTAAAAAAACCACGTTTGGGATTTCTAACCCATCAAGGACTGGGCTTAAGGTGCATGTCGGGGTTCCGCTTAAACTCTTTTTCTGCAACTATTCTGGACTCTGCAATCCTGCCCTGTGCCAAAAACCGACTGACCAGGCAACGAGATACTGGACCCCTCGCTTCAAACTTTTCAAAAACAGGGCTTGATGTATATCTCGGGGCTCCACTTAACGTGTTCTTTGCGCCACTATTCTGGATACTGATCTTACACTGCCCAGAAAACGGGTGCAAAGGAGACGAGGCACTGGATCTTCACTTGATTATCAGGATGCATCTGAGATGTAGTTCTCTTCCACTCCCAAAACTGGCCGCCAGGATACGAAACAGACAAACACTTGAAGCCCTCACCTCGCAGACTTCCAAAAAAAATCCCTGGCCAAGGTCATTTCACGACGTAGCAATCGCAAGACTCGGGGCAATCCAACAATCAACGCACGCACCCACGCCTTCTAGCTTCCAAACCCCAAACAAAGGCTTAAACCGCCAAAATCCTGCGAGTACCCCGTTTGCCCAGAGAGAGTTTCTTTCTGCCGCTGTGGAACGCTGGCAGACCCAGCTCCGGGCTTCAGGTCCAAACTTGGGCTTAGACTCAAGCACCAAGCACCCAGCAAAACTTAAACTTTCCTATTGTAGGGGACTTATAGACCCAAAAAGTTTAAAGTTAACCCTACTGGGCTGCTCAGCCAAAAGTGCGGCCTTGTGGGTGCCTCCCTTGGGATCTGGACCAAAGTTTGAGGCTTTTAGGAGGTTTTCGGGTTCAGGATTGCTGCTTGTTTAAGGTTTCGCTTTCCCTGGTTTGAACTGAAGGGTTTAGGCCTTGGAGCTTAGGACGCGAGTATGTGTGTGTTTGTCCCTTTTGTTCTTGATCTTTATCTCTGGAAGGAGAGAGAAAAAAGGAAACCAAGTAAGGAACGCAGGGGGCACTAAATGGCCCTAAAAGCCTAAATTTCTCGTTCTATCTCGGGCTGCCGTACGTGCTCAAACCCGCGTGATTTGGCTTTTGTATCCGACATGCAAATTATATTTGCCCACTCTTTCCGAAAAGGAGCCAGGTTTGCTTCCTTTGCTCTTTCTGTTTGCTTGTTGTTTTCCTGGGTTTGGGGTTTAGGGCTTGGGTCCACCAGGGTTTAGGGGGTTTGGTGTTTAGCGCTTCTCTTGGTTCCCTACTTTGATTTCCTTCTTTCTCTCTTTCCAGAGACAAAGGTCAAAACAAAAGGGACAACACACACACACACACATACACACTCGCGTCCTAAGCCCTAAGGCCTAAACACTTCAGTTGAAACCAGGGCATGCCTTAAACCCTGACACCTATAATTCATGGTGGTGCCTCTGCCGTGTGGTATACGGTGTACAGAGAAATGTGTATCCACCCACTGCGCTACCCGGGTCCCCGTGCGATTCGGGTTGTCGAACCCTAAGCCCGAAAGCTTAAATGAGCAGTCAACCCTAAACCCTATACCTAAAAACCTCCAAAAGACTTTTGTCCAGACCCCAAGGGGGCCCAGCATGCCCCCGTTTTGGCTGAGCAGTCCAGTAGGGTAAACTTTAAACCTTTTGGGTCGATAAGTCCCTACAAAAGGCAAGATTAAGTTTTGCCGGGCGCTCGGTACCTGAGTTGGAGCCCAAGTTTGGACCTAAAGAATGTATATCCACTCCCTGAAAAGAGGCTAGATTCGTTTTTGGTTTTAAGGCAGAGGTTTTACGGTTTCAGAGTTGGGTTTGGGGCGTTTGGCAGGTTGAGGGTTTAGGGTTACTGTCTAAGGTTTTCGTTTTGGGTTTAGGGTTAAGGTCTGGGATTTGTCAGGTTTAGGTTTAGGGCTTAGGGCTTGGTTATTGTAATGTTTCTATAAGTTTTCCTCTTCTTCCAGAGGCCAAGACCTTGAAAACCATCAAAATGGCAAGTTTTTGTGATTTTTGACTATTTGGCCTTCAGAAACCTTGAATTAAGGCCAAAACACAGGGATTGTCCCTAGTTTTGCCTTGGAAACCACCAAAATGGCAAGTTTTTGTGATTTTTTGACCATTTTGGGCTTTCACAAACCTTGATTAATTAAGGCCAAAGCACAGGGATTTTCCCTCATTTGGCGGCCTTGGAAATGCCGAAATGGCCAATTTCAGGGATTTTGACCATTTTGAGTCTCACAAACCCTGAATTAAGGCAAAAACATAAGGTTTTTCGATAGTTTGGCGGCCTTGGAAACCACCAAAATGCAAATGTTTGTGATTTTTGACCATTTTGGGCTTTCACAAACCCTGAAGTAAAGTAAGTCCCTAGATTGGTGACAGGTGTACCGAATGTTGTTCTCTGTTTCCCAACCGCTGTACGGGATTGTTTTACATACCTCGGCGATCCCTGGAGTGCCTTCCCGAGAATTTTAGTGGAATGCCCGCCGAATCCTGCAGAGTATGCCTGGAGCGCCCTCACCCAAAAAAGCAAGCAGAGCAGAGAATCCCGCCCGCACAGAGAGTCCTACAACAAATCCCACAAGAGTGACTACCCCAAAAAATCTTGCAGAGAATTCCGCAGGGTACCCCTGGAGTCAATCCTGCCGAGAAACCCACAAGCAACCCTGGAGCGCTCACGAGAGAAGCGAATTATTGCGGAGTACCCGCCCGCACAGAATCCAGCTTCTCCGGGGGGCACTTAGGGATTCTCCAGGTCTCTGTGGGTAGGCACTCCACGTAAGGGGTCAAGCTTTAAGAAGAAACTCACGGGATCTCGGAAAGCCTTATAGAAAAACACCGCGGGGGTGGTAACCCGGGTTCGCCCCCCCACGGTGTTTTTTCTGTGTCTCCTGGCCGTGGAATGGGCCCAACCCTCCGAAAAACACCGCGGCCTCCAGCAGAAAGGTCACCACCCCCGCGGTGTTTTAGGTTAAGGGGGTGGTGATGCCAAGGGTCATCTTCTTCACCGCAAGACCAGAGCGTGGCGCGACCCGGGCGTAGGTGCCCTGACCGCACACAACTGACCAAGCCCCTCTCCCACTGCCCCAGCCCTGTTTCCAGTAATGTCGCCATCTCAGATCTGCATCGCTACGAATGTCACTGCGAGTGACACCGAAAGAAGCACCAAAAACATGCGCAAACATGTGCAAAGGACAGACCCGTGGACACACCTCGCCTCCGGAATGGCAATAGACAGGCCGGTCTTCACGACGCCCTCTCATGATCACACGGTGTTCTGCAGGGCTATCCCACGCGAGATAGCACGAGATAGCCCAGGCTGCATCAAAAATCAGCTGACTCAAGATCTCAGCCTTGCCGCCGGCGGGGATCACTGTCTCTTCTGCAGCCGACAAGTCAAAGCCGGCTGCTGCCTCATACCGTGTCAACACAAACTGTCTTTCTATTGGACTGCAATTTCCCGACTTCGAGGTGAACCCCTTGCGGCTGAGCGGCCGCGGAACCGCGCACCGGCAAGACGGCTGCTGCGCTGAGCCTCTTCACCAGCATGGCCTCAGCATTTATGCTTTATTTCGACCAAACACATTGCAAGCTGTGCTTAGCGAATCACACTGCCCATTCAAGACGCGGCTGTTGCCCCGAGTCAGATGCAGGCTATGAAAGACTTTACTTACTTCCTGTGAATCTGAAGTTCAAGCGAGCGACGTAGGCGCCCGAATGGGAGTAACGGACGCAGAGTGTGGAAACTACGGCTCTGAGCAGCGAGGGATAGAGCGACTCAGAAGCGCGTGCCGCAGTTCACTTTAGTGTTTAGCTTATCCTTGGCTTAGCCTTAGCTTTGCTTCTCCATGCTTCTCCACTCTCCTTGCCTTCGAGGGCATGGTGATGTACGCTCGGCCCTTGGATGCCTTGGTGTCCTCAACTTCGCAAACACGCCATAAGAATCGCACTCTCTGCATGTGTCGCGGAGAAGTGAAATCTCTTGCGTCTCCTGATCTCGCAGCAACTCCAAGGACTGAAGCGAGGCGACCTCTGGGGCTCTCGGGCTCTCTGGCTCTCCGTCTCTCCTACTGCATTGTAGCGCTCAACAACACTTCTCAGACCACTGCCTCCGGGCTCAACTTGCCGTCGAGAAACTCGCGAAGCTGGTCCTCTTCTCTTTTTCTTTTTGCTTCACTTCCAAAAAAAGGGAATGTTGCGGAATGGAAGCGGAAGTAGAATCGGAGCGCCCGAAAGCGCCTCGGTCACTCGGAGGTTGATACCCGTGATCATGACCCGGAGGGAATCCTGTTGCGTCCGGGCAACCACTGTCAACCACAAGAGCAGCGAACAGCATTCGGGTTCACATGCACAGCGGATAGCGCCGCCCGTCCAGCGGATGCCTCCTCAGTTCGCAAGCTTTGGCCAGAAGCCGAGTGACCTCTGCCGGCGCAATGCAAAAGCGGCTGCACAAAGCCGCCGAACGGATGTTGGGGGACAACGGGATATCAACCGGACGTGCTCGGGCCTGTGCTCGACGCGGCATAGGCCTTGACTGCGGCTGCCGCTCTCTCTGCTTTTTGTTTCGCACACTTGCCCCCAAGTCTGCAAGGGCTCTCATGTCTGGATGCCGCACAGATCTTGGCCGATGCCGAGCTTCACCTGGCGCTGTCAACATGAGAGGGCATCCACTCGCACAAGGCAGAAGTCTGATGCCAGCACAAAAGGGGATTCTGGGCCGCTGGCTGGGCACAGGTGGAGGCTCAACCTTGCAGAACAGGCACTCCGAAAAGGGTTTAGGATGGCGTAGAGCCTATATGAGCTTATAGGGATGCTGAAAGCGCCGTGACAAGTCGTGAGGTGCCGACCCCTGGAAGAACACTGGGATGAAAGTTCACCTTACCCCAGAGGAGCACATACTAGCACACATACCAATGTAAGGCACTCTGTGGGTCAGAACCAGTCGACGAACTTGCGCGGGAATTAGCCTGGCATTGCCAAAGCCGATGCGCAGTGCAAAAAGTGTTGGGCACGCGACCGAAACATGTGAATCCGCTCGCGAATCCAAACTCTGCGGGGATTCGTATGTCACGCCAGATCATGTGAGATCACAACCACCCGGCTCACCCAGTCTTCCCTCAGTCAAGCGAGTAGGATCTGCAGCTGCGCGCGTCTGCGCGTAGCTTCGGGCAGCAGTTGGGCAGGATCCTCAGGAACAAGGCAAAAGGACGGGTCGCGCAGACTGACGGCTCTTTACTCAGAGAAGTTCTGTCTCTTCACGTGGGCCAGGGTGGTGTCGACAGAAACCGCTTTGTCGCCATGCATAAGCCTTAGTAGGACAGCAGATCTCACCCAGGCATGCTGATCCAGGAAGCCTTCTTTCTGACTTCGTTTGTGTTACATTTTCTTCAGTGGGCCTCTCGGCTCCTAGCATCACCACAATCACAGCAGCCGTAATCAGAGCGCGAGATGTAGAAATCATGGCCTGCGCAAAGCGAAAAGCTGTGGCAATCTAGAAAGCTCGTCCAACTACTCCAGGGCGCCACGCCTTCGTGGTCTCCGGCCTGAAAGGTGCTTCAACACCAGGGCAATGCAGGGCAGGTGCACAGCACCAAGGAGCAGATCAATGCATTAGACGGCTCAGCCAAGGCCCAAGGCATCGAAGCAGGAGACGCAGATGCAGCTGGCAGAGGACAAGCCTCAGACGATTGGCTTGCGAGATGCCTGAAGAAACCAGAGTCCTGAGCTCCCAAGCCACAGGTCTTGCAGCCGTAGGCAATCCTGGCAAGCGAAGCGGAAAATTGACGCACAGTCTAAAGCAGTCTGGGGCAACACACAGTCTGAGACGCAACACACGACAACAAACATGAGATGGGAGGGCGTGTCGCCGTACCAAACCGCATCGCAGCGGCACTTGGCCCCCTCGGTCTGGGCCTGCAAAGTGAGCACATCAGTGGGCCCATCCATGTGGGGCCTTACATTGGGACTTACATCTTGACGAGAGCTCAGAGGAAGCCCCTGAATAGATCTCAAAAGCGATCGCAGCTATCGAGCCAGCCCGGCCAGCCCCAGTGGGGCGTTTTTCCGCAAGCCAGCTGCGCACGACGTTGCTCGGGAGCCATGCTGCGTTTGCAGATGTCCCATGTGACACTCGCAGCTAACCCTTGGAATGTGAAACTCTACTCAATTCAGGGCATACACGTTGCGGGCATGTGTGAAGGCTTCAGCAGTGTGTTCAACATGCAGGTTGAGAAAGCGTCACCGATGCCTGTCACCGATGCCTGCATGTACGCCGTGGCCAATTGTGGACGCTGGGAATCTTTGTCCACAGATCACCGGCTCATTTTGTTGGTAGGGGCTTCGGGCTGAAGCAATAGGTGAGCTGAGTGTGCCTCAATTTGCGACGATCGGCGCTTGCAATGTTTTGCATGTGTCTGCATATTCGTCTATCTTCTCCATGTTGTGACGGGTTGCAGCTTCTCCTTTTTGGGTCCGAAGACGGAGGGGACCCACTGCAGCTCCTGCGGAAACAGAGCTGCACATTTATCAGCCGAAACCTCGGCTCGTAGGTGTCTGGCAAGTACCTCAAACCCCGACCCCTCCCTGCCCCCTCTGCCCCCGCTCTCCTCGCCCTGCCTCCTGGCTTCCCCTGCCCATACCCCGTCCCAAACCGCATGCTTTCTCAATTACAAGCCTGGGTTTAGGGTGTACGTTCAAAGCGCCTGGACTCCCTAGATCCTGGGCCACATTTGGGGTGCTTTATATTATATATGAGGCTGGTCTATATGTGAGCCTTGTATCACAACAGGATTCCCAAAAGAGAAAGCCCTGAGGCCTAACACGGTAATTTCAGCGAGTTGTGTGGATGGGCAAAGGGCCGCTCGACTCTAGACTCTAACAGACTCTAACAAGTCTCCAGGGCAGCACGTCCCATCTTCTTGGCAAACTTATCTGCCTGCGGACAATCCACAACAGCGACGCCGTGACAACTGCTGGGTCATATGCTGCTCTCCAGCCTTGTTGGCTGGCGCCTTGACCCACTTGACGTCATACCAACTCCACGCGTACCAGTCTGCCTTCCTAGGGTGCAGCATGGTCACAACCAGAAATGCCTGACATCTCACAGCTACACAGAGCTACGCAGCAGCTTTACATTGCGCATCACAACTTAACTCAACCTTCTCAACTCTAAGTTGCAGCTGCGGCACGCGCCTGCGGAGCCGGCAGGGACTACAGTTACTGTAAAGTCAAAGGTATCCACCTGCTCCAGGGTCTCGCCAAGACGTGTTCTTCGCGTCTTCCCAGAGCTCAGGGAACAATTGCACCGAGCCTTCTCAACCTCTTTCTCGTCCGGACCCTCGACCTCACAGATGCTGTGGTGTGGTCCGTGTGGAGCACGGTACGGATCACACAGCGAGACCTACATTCAGCCCTGCCAACTTCTGCTCACCCGATGGGGCAGCGGCAACAGTGTAGTGCTGCAGGACCTTCCTCAGCTGCAGCTGGAAATTGCACGAGCTGCACGAGTTGCGCACAATAGAACTCTGGAACCTGGCATGCTCTTACTGGCTTGCCGCCCTGATTCACTATGGCCATGCCCTCTTCTTTTGCTTTCCATTTTATGACGTGTGAACCGGAAGAGCCTGCACACTATGGGTCGCTGCACAGGAAGCTGCATGCAATAGTCACCGTACTTTGTCTGAACTGCATCGACACGCCTGCAGAGATATCGTCTACGGCCACAAGGCTGTCCAAGACCTCATGCACGGTACGCAACCCAAGTGCACTTCCGCGTGCCCGCACACTCGCGTGCGCCTTGTCCAGGAACGGCGCCTCCTGGACCTCCGCGGGCGTCTCCTCCACCCGCGCCTTGGCCTTCTCGGCCGCCGCCAGCTTTCGCTCGGCGTCCGTCACGGCGGCCTCCTCGGGTGAGGGCTCCGCCTTTGCATCCTGCAAAGCAACAGCAGAGCAAAGGCAGCGTCAGAACCCCCACACATCGGAGTCTAATCCGAGCCAACACCGGGATCTGGCTTCGAGTCCTTGCCGTCCTTGCCGTCCTTGGCGTCCTTGGCGTCCTTGGGCTTGGCTTTGGCGGCTTTGGCCTTGGCGGCCTCCAACTTCGACTTTGCGTCGGTGATGCCCTTCTCGAGCGCATCGAGCTGCTGCTTCTTCCTTTCTTCGGCGTAGAGCTTCGATCTCGACTCGAGGTGCTTGACTGTGTCAGCACTGGGTTCCACCGAGACTTCGTATCTGAACTGGCTGCCTCGACATGACATGGCAGACTTCCGGCATCGACAAATGAACTCACGATTCAGAAGCACAGCGCTTCTGCCAAATATGCTACATGTGCTGCAAAGGCACGAACCAGCTTCTCATCAAGGCCAAAACATAGAACATCACCTACAGCCATCTCCAACTTTAAGTGCTTGTTCACAATTTCCCCCTGCTTCACGCAGACTTCCATGACCTCTTTCCTGAGTTGCACATTGTTACCAGCAATGGCAATGGTCTTTGATCTGTCAGCTGGTGACACTTGCTCAGCCACCAAGCACCTAGTCGTCCAACCCATGCCGCCGAGATGCACATCTGAGAAGAGCCACGTGCAGAACTCCTCGCTTTATTCTCCAGCAGTATGAGCATGCCCCCCCGCCCCCCCCCACCCCCAACCACGCAAACCCGCCCCCCACAAAAAAAAAAAAAAAAAAAAACCTTCGAACATCCCCACCCTCTCTTCGTAGAGATACTCTGGGGTCTGGCACTCCAGGGAGACTCTGGGAGACTCTGCGATTGGGCACTCCAGGAAGACTCTGGGGTTGGGCACTCCAGGAAGACTCCGGGGTTGGGCACTCTAGGGAGACTCTGGGGTTGGGCACTCCAAGAACACTCTAGAGTTGGGCACTCCAGGGGATGAGCGAGGAGTAGACTTGGCGAGGAGAAGAGTTCCGGGCGAGGAGAAGAATTCCGGGCGAGGAGAAGGCTTGAGAAAATCTAACAACCCCACACCGAGGGTGGGGAAAAAAGAACTCTCTGTATCTCCAGCTCGCTCACTGTGCCATGCTCGGGTAGCTCCTGACTTTGGCAACATAGGCCGGAGGCCTTTTTTTGCCCATATGTCCCAAAAACTTCCCAGTCCGAAGGCCTCAAAGTCGACCGTCCCACTCTTGTCGACGTCGGCCGCATCGAAGAGGGCCGACGCTCGCTCCTGCACTGCAGGAGGCAGTGGCCTACAGTAGCGTGACAGCTCCTGTGACCTGGCAGCCTGAACCTCAGCCATCCACTCCAGATACAAGTGCGCTGTCGAATCGGTGTGGCAGATGCTGGTTCCTCTTGAATCCTCTCGACCCCCAATGAATCGCTATCTGTCAAAACACGGGAATTTGGATTGGGTCCTTGGGCATACCAACGGCATCAAGCATTGCAGACAATTCGTCTTTGTCTAGGAAACCGTCATCGTTCTTGTCCACGTCCCTGCACACAACTATCATGGGGTGGGGGAGGTCGTGATGTTCAGAAACCCAGCTTTGGAAACGGAGGCTCTTGACTTTTCATGGCTTTTTACTTTTGTCTGGACAAGAGCTCAGCAAAATCGCAAGCCACCATCAACACTTGGTCCACCGTTGAATACCCTCGTGGATGGGAATCAGTCATGGAAACTTTGGGGCGGGGATGGGCTGGGCGACTACTGCCAGCTACAGCATGGGACACTGGATGCAATTGCAGCAACACAAGCCTTGCAATACCGGGGTACAAGAAGCCAACAAGCTTGAACATGCTTGCAGGATCTGAAAACTCTTGGCTCAGCCCTGCACTTGTAGACCGCCATCACACGTTCCATCAAAGGATCCGGCATGGTTTCGTAGATTGGCTCTCACAGCTCAACCCGTTGAACGACAGTGACATAGCTGAGCTTGCACTGGTGCTGTGTGCAGCGATTGCGGAGTCATGACGGTCATGGCTGGAGTCTCAGTCTGAAGACGCACGCAAACTCTACGCTTGTGGAGCTCTGCACTTCATGGGTAATGTGTTGCCCTTTGAGCCTACCAGCTTCCATAATGCCCTCACATATCGAGAAGCAAACAACCACATTGTCTGTTGTAAGTCTATGTAAGATCATGCCATTTCTCTCAATTAAACAAACTGCAGCAAGTCGCTCTGGCAGTGTTCGGGGCCGCACTAAGCGCTTGAGGAAATCAGTGCCGCGCTGCAGTGACCTGATACATCCCGTGGTTGCTGGCGTTTCCCGTTGGTCGCCGTATTTCAGGGAACTGCTACATGTTGTAGTCTGGTGTAATATGACGTGCCATGCAGGTTTTGGCTGCGGCTGAGGACGCAGCGGATCCAGCGCCTCGGAAAAGAGCTGCAGCGCCTTCGATCTTTGCAGATCTGCAGACCCCTTCAAGGTCTTTACCGTCTTTACCCAATTATTTTCAGGTCAAGCTCCCCGTCCACCTCCGCATCGTTGCCACCTCAGCCAAAATGGCGTCAAAGTCGACCCGAAAAAAAGACGCGAGGAACTCGCAACGGCTCCACAAGCCACAGGCTTGCAAGCAGCTCCTCGGCCGCGGCCTCGACCTGTCGCAGCTCCAACAACAAATCTCTGCCGGAGCGGACTCCACGCTCACATGCCATAGGAATCTCAGCGTTCGCAGCGGTACCTCCCCCACAGCCTTTGAGCTTGTGTCCTGGGAGATGGGACAGTATGGGATCGGGACGGGACGAACGCGGCACCCTGAACATCAACGAAATTTGGGGGGCGAATATTGGACATCGAAGTTTGGCCTCGAGCCGGAATTCGGGTTTTCGAGGCCCCGGAATTCGAGTCCCACGATATTTGCGAGGTTTTCGAGGCCCTGCGTTTGTATGTCAAAAACGCAAAAACACGAGGGTGTTGGCACCTCGACCACGCGGAAGCCCGCAGAGGGGTTGCGTTTGTATGTCAAAAAGCGCAAAAACACTGGGAAACGAAAAGCCTGTCTGGGGAGAGCTTGCGTGACCAACAACTTCTGAGCACCTCCTGACCATCAAGGCGCGCAATCCGAAAATCCAGAAGAACGTTTGCCAAGGGTCCCAAAGCCGCAGGGAGCTGCTCAGGTTCTGCCACCTGGAGCCGAGGTGTCGGATCCCGAAACCCTGCGAGCTCTCCCCAGGTCACATGAGGGCGGCACCCCATCCAACCTGCAGTTGTCAGATTTTTGCAAGCAGATGTCAGAATCTTGCAAGTCATGTCAACACGGCTGCAATATGTCGCAATTGCAGCATGACATGTCTTTGCCGCACAAAAGTCAGACTCCTGCCTGGAACTTCTCAGTCTCTCACAAGCCCCACCGGGGCTGCCTGTGCCGAGGAGACTTGGGGGGATGGGGACCGTAATGTTGGAAAAACCAGCACAGCCAGGGCTGCCGACATCGAGCCGCGTCTTGAGCCTCTGGTCACAGCAGGGGAGGCGGTGCCGAAGGCATGGCGGCCATGGATTGCCAGCAAGCTGAATCAGCTGCGCTCAGACGGGTTCTTCTCTGACAAGTGCACTTGCTAAAGTACGAGTCGGTTCCGTGTTCCATGGTGGCGGCTAACCTTCAGCATGTTACTACTACACGGCACCACGTGTTGCAAGCGGCGCGCTGGATGCTGTAATGCTGTAACAGTGACGACCTGACATGACCTGACCACTCCCTCTCACCTGCTGGACGCACGCTGAACGCACAGCATCAAAGCATCTCGGGCACCCCTTTCTTCTCTATTGGTTGGAGCGTTAGCATCTATGGGACTGCCCAGTCAAAACTGGCCAGTACCCTCGGCGAGTGAATTAGGTTTGCACGCTGTTGGGAGGTGCGCACATGAGCGCTGGCAAACGGATAAAACAATCAGTCTTGTGGATAGTCCCGTGCAGAGTGTGACCAATCACATCGTTTGAAGCCTTGCTTTCTTTGGTGGCACCTGGCAATCCATTTTAGAAAATGGCGCTGGTGCAGCTATTCGCTGCAAGGATATTCTCGACAGGTAGTTGCGACGGCAACGTACCTCCTAAAACTACACCTCGGGAAGGCGTACCGCCAGAGTACGGCCACCCACCACGTCTACTGCAAGCTTGCAAAAAGTCTGTAAGCGCCGTTGCGGGAACTGTTGTCTAGCAGTTGGGACTGTCTTGCGTTGCTAGCAGCCAGAGCCTTTTACAACACTTCCCTGGCGCAAGCATTTACAGCTCATGATGTTGCCACTTGCATGCTCTCATGTACACGTCACATAGGTTTTATTTCGTGGCCATCTGAGCTTGCGCAACGCCAAACCTACCTCAATTGGCTCTAATTCGGTATGCATTTCTCGAAGCAGTCATAAGACAAAGCCTGTACATGTTCCGGCAGTGGTTCCCATACTTCCAGAAGCCGGCACGGCCAGTGGATTCGCGCGATTCCCTGCCTTGGAGCGACACTCTCCTTGCACACTCCTTGCACACTGGGCCACTCGAACAGGCTGGAGGATCCCGCCCCCCGGGGATCCTGCGGAATCAGCTTATTTTCCGCATCCCGGAAACCCTGGATCGACCTGACGTCTGTCGTCTGTGAAAGAGCCAAAAGGATTGAAAACCGGGTAATACGTTATCTGCAGAGGTTAGGCGGGCTGCGCGCAAGGTCCGCAGCGTCAGACCTCTCACGCCGAACATGGCTGCCCACGACACAAGCATGTGGGACTGCCTCTGAAGGCATGTAGGTCGGCAGTCCAAATCCGTCCTTTGAAGCCATTGTTCGAACCACAGGGAAAGAAAGCAAAAAGTCACCTCATCTCAACCACGGTCCTCCGTGACCCTCGGCCCCCAGTAGCCGCCTCTGCATTTGACCTGAGCCAATTCAAAGGCTGCCTGCATCCCTCAGATTCCTCAGATGGCAGCAGGGAGAACAGCAGCCAGGCCTTCATGGGAGATGACAGAAGACCTTGAATCATCTGGAGCTTCACAGAGCTTAACGAAGAAAGCATCGGAAAGCCCAGCTTGCCGCTTGCCTGAACTGTGCCCAGTAATATAAGGAGCCGTCTTTGTATCGCCGGATCTCCGGGAAAGGGGCCTCACGCACCATGCCGACCATGCCCTCCTGTCTGCATTCCCGTCTGCAGGGAAAGCCCGGGAGCCTGAAACTGCCGACCAGGCAGACGGAACCTTGCAGCAGGTGTTTCCCCATGTGGCACTGCGTAGACCGGCGTGAGTGGGACTCAACGGTATTCAGTTTTCTGAAAGTCTTTCGCCTGTGCTACTTCCATATCGCCTGAATCAATTCGCCTGGATGCAGAAATCCCAACCGTCGAACAGTAGGGAATGCACATATGGTCTTAGTCAAAGTTCAAGAAGTCCGCGCTCCCGTCATTGCAATGTGTCAATCGTAATGTGTACGCAGCTAAAAGTTAGCTCTTGGTTCATGGCTGGCCCTTTCTGTCATCTTTGATGTTAATGTCGCTTCTTGTTTAAGGGCCACTAGACAGGCAGAGCTCCGGGCGGGCTGTTTCGCACCCGTCTTTTGACCTTAGGGAGCTTTGCCCTGCTCACGCTCAAAAGTTGGCCAACTGTGCCTCAAACAGTACCGTAGGCGCAAGACCGGCTGCGCTTCCCTGGGCCAAGCAGGGTCACTTCTCGGGGAAGAGCCGCAAGTTTCTCGAGCTGGGCCAGGCACTAACAGCGTCGGCAAGGGGAAATGCCTTCAAAGCAACACGGTCACGTGGAAAACCCAACATTAGTCATTGGTGGGTTCATGACATGAAACTATGAAACTGAACAGGTTCGGGTTGCTGACTCCAATCCTCCGAAAATACCGAGGTGCCCCCGAATCAAGAAATGATCGTGAACGCAATGAAAATACGTGCAATTGAATAAATGGCAAGATCTTTCTGCAGGTTGCTTTGGTTGTTTCGGGGTGTTCTAAGCCAACCCTTTACGTCCGTGTATATGTTAACAGGAGACGTTTTAAAGGGAAGCCTCCGTTTCCTTTGGCATCAATGAGAAATCACGCTTTCTCAATGGCTGTATCACAAACAACATTATCTCCTGTAGATTCTGTAGATTCCAAATCCTCGAAATTCTCTACATCTCAACTGCCAACCCCCCCGCCCCCCTTCGCAACTGTGTAAATCCAAGCATTGCATGGTCATGCCCACGTGCCGGGCGTTTGCAATAGCTGCACTCGAAGAGCCAGCACCCCACAGCTATTCTCAACACTTTCACGCGCTGCATACGCAGGCTTTCGAAGATGTCATCGGCTGTCATGCGCCGCCCCCTAAGAAACAAAACAAAGCTCCTTTCAATGCTCGACGCGGGCAGCCTGTTACCGTACGGGTAACAGGCATGGATTCTCAATCACCGAATGGGAACCATCGAAACGGTGATACTGAAGTGTGGGGGAGGCAGGGATAGGCGGAAGGTCTGGAGAACGTTTTACACAAGTCTTAAACGACGCCAGCACCGAGGTGAGCCTGGAAGAAGCGGGAGGATTTCTTCGAGCCATGCCCAGCCTGGTGCAGGGTTCGGACGATTCGCAACTGATTCAGGGTCGAGGGATGTCTGGCGGTCATGGTGACGGCATGGCCATGAGGTCAACTTGGCTTCTGACCCTTTGTTGGCCCAAACTGTTCGGCCTCTGGCAGGTAAGGACAATGAACGATGGACAGCAGCTCTCTGGGATCCTCGCCTGCCATGTAGGCGTGTGCCTCCTGCCTCTGCAGAGATTCCGGAAAAGTGAGGACCAAGAAGCTCACCATCTTCCGAGGCATTGGCGAGTGGCCAGCATCCAGGCAACCCATCTCATCCAGCTCCACCTTGGGCTCAACCGCGCCGCTGTCGCTTGCATGTTACACTGCACATGACTCTTCTCCTTCTGGAACTCTACGAAGGGTGCGCCCTTATCGCGATTGCCTTGTCCCGGATCAAGTCTCAAGCTGGCACCCCCACTTCCCCCATTGCCGGATACTGCCGACAGAGTCGCCGCGGGCTTGGCGACACATGATGACAAAAAGCACGACGCACCCTCGCAATCACTTCTTGCAAGATACTTTTGGGCCGTGCCTGATACCACCTTTCTAGGTTGAGTACGCGCGTGCAGTTGCCATCGCTTGCTACTCCCCACTCTTGTTCTTCCGGGCTGTTTTTGTTCATGTTGTCGTGTCTTCCTTTCGTGCATGTACCACCTGCACCCATGCCAGCCAAGCCACAGCGGAGCATGATCTGTCGAGGGAGTGTGCCATCTCCTGAAACAGCGATCAAGTCGCAACTGCGAGAGTCTGCAGATGTCTGCGGAATGTATCCCGGGCATGCCTGAAGTAGAGCCGCTGGAGTCGCAGGCTTCACTTCCACCCACTTGCCTCGCAGAGAGCTCTCTCACGAACCCCGCGGCAGCTCAAGAGGGGCAGTCGGAGCCAGGCACAACCATCGCTCTTCACTCTTTCTCGCGAGGTCCGGTGCCGCCAGTTGCCAGCACGAAAATTGCGCCACGGTGCGTCAGAAATATCGTAGAGGGCCCTCTTTGTACCTTTCCCACCGAGCTACGCGGGGCCTCTGGACTTGGTTGGGGAAGGAATGCGACATAATGCGACATGACGCGAATGTGAGCCCGACATCTTGAGGACTTGCCAGACATTTCCCGGCTTGGAAGCTGGAAGCCCTGATGTTGCGACGTTGCAGATGCGCAGCTATCGTTGACTCCCAGCTCCGAACTCAAGGTATGTACAGATCGGGTCACAAGCTCATTAACAAGGGGTGTGCAGCGCATTGCCCCTTACTTCTCATACTCCCAGTTGTCCTGGCAGCTTCTGAATGTTGACCTCCCTCTCGCGCTCTTTCAGTCTCTACTCAATGCTCGGGCAATTTGAAGGCCGACTGGGTCCGGGACCCTCCGGTAAACCTGAGCCCCGCACCCAAAAGTGCAAGCGGAGGCAAGAGGTCAGAAGCAAAAGGCGACAAGGCACAAGAAGGCACAAGAAGGCGCAAGAAGCAAAGCCTTGACTAGGTGGTTCAGAAAGTGCGGGGAGTCCATGCCTCAAAGAAATTGCGAGCAACTTCGCCAACTGGACTTCGTCTCCCTCCCCTCTCGACGTTCCGCTTGGCGGCAGGCACAGGGCTTGGAGTTCACACTCCGTGACACGTCCCTCCTCGAGCTCTCTCTCGAACTTAAGCACCTGGAGTGAGCAGTGCGCAGATGATTTTACATCATGTGAGATTTGATGATGAATGATGACGGTCCGGGCTTCGTTGTCTGTGGGTTGACACTGGACAAACACTGCTCCTATGACTCGCACAACTCGCTACTTCTCGCCTGAACGTTGGAAGACTTCACCAGGTGCCGGAGCTGCAAGCCCTTCGAGGCCGAAGCCATGTCGAGCCATGTCGAACCATGAACGACCAGGTCTTCCGTTCAGACGTTTGAAATTGTCAATGGCAACATTGCAAGCTCGAGGCTTACGCCCACGAGCCGTTACTAGACGCTGCCGACCACGTTCCACCCACGAAATCACACTGCCCCGTTTGCACCGACCTGGACCACAATGCTCTAAAAGGGGTCTGGCTGCCTGGAAGTGGTGCTCTTCGCAGGCCTCGCGACCGACCTCGCAATCTGGCTATGAAGCTTGGCTGAACTCTCGAGCGGCAAAGAATCCGTCTTCGCGAGTCTCAGTCTGAGCTTCGCCTAGACTGGACATGTTCGTCCTTTTTGAGCCCCCTTCGGGCATCCTTCGGGCATCCTTCGGGCCTTCACCGAGTCTCAGCTCCTCAGCTCCTGGCCTCGGCAAACATGGCGATGGCCTCGAGGCCCGGCATGACCTTCGCCGTTATCCCGCGGAATCCGTTCCACAAGCCATGCAATCACATGCCCCTCGCTTCCCCTCCTGCTGCTTGTCGGGATGCTCGGACCAGGGAAATGCGAGCTCTCCATCGGTGTCCTGACAACTCTCACATGCTCTGTCTCCACTCTTTTGCACTCCCTCGTGGCGCAGCGCACGGCGCCAAAAAAGGCGTCGGGCCCAGCCGGCCTTCAGGGCCTGGTAGGCATCCTTGATCCTCTGAAGGAATGCGAAACACACGGCGCCGAACGCATCACGGAACACCGGAACACGTCACGGAACACAGTGTGCCACGGGACCACGAGCAACTCTGGTCCTTTGAAATCGGTCAGTCGCAGCATCTGGGTCATCCTGGTTCTTGTCCTCGGTGCAGGGCTCATCAAGGCTCCATACACACGTGGACTTGCAGAAAAGCCACAGGCGGGACTTAGCCGAGCACAGGATGGTGCTTCAAGGACAACGCTTTGTACTGTCGCTTGATGTCCTGACCCATCCATTGCTGGCGGTGACATGTGGTGACATGTGGTGACATGTGGTGACCGGGGTGGCGAGGGCTGCTGTGCCCGGCTCTGCTTGGCTGCACAGCCTGCTGCGAAGCGTTGTCCGCCAGCTCGAGGGCTTCGAACGCTTCCGTCGGGTGCTGGCCTAGGCACCCGATGTCCAAGTGCGATTGCCACGCGCGCATCTGCGCAGGCTACATGTCCATGCTGAGTCCTCTACATACTGAGATCATCACTTTGCTCTCGGCCTGACATAACTCGTGCGTGATGCTCCCATTGTGTTCTTACGGTGTTCCATGGTATTCCGTGGCGCTCCTGCTCCCATTCAAAGTTCAGCTTCACAGCAGCTCTCTGCTTCTTGCCCCCATCTTTGGCCTCTGAAAAGCTCGGTGCAGAAGCTCATAGGAACCCCATTTCCCTTCTGGGACCGTGGGGGGGGGGGGGGGGGGGGGAAGGTGTTGGGGACACAGCAGCAAGAAATTTTGCAGCACAGCGCTCTTCGGGCCTTCGCTTTGGGCTTGGCAAAGGGGCACGCTCCCTGCAACGCAGCGGCACTCGCAGCAGGGCAGCCAACATCAGCCAACCCTCATCGCTCTGCGTTGCTTTGCGTTGCTCGGCCTGCAGCGTCGACAGGCCGCTAATGGGACAGATCCGCACCTCATCGAAAGGCCTGGCACAATCACGGAGCTGCGAACATCTGTGTAGTGCATTCGGCCTGCACCCGCCGGCTGCACACTGAAGCATCAGCTTCCTCTGCAGGTTCAGAAAAAATCTCAAGAACGCGGAAAAATGCAAAAACCAGAAAGCTGTACACTCGTGACCCCCCATGGACCCTCGTGCCTTGGCCGCATCGTTGCGTACAGAGCTTGGCAAAGCTTCCTTTCGTTTCGCACAAAGGACTGGGACGCACTGGGACCTTCAAGTGCCTTCAAGTGCAGCAGTGCCTCCTGTAGTGATCTGTCTGCCGAGACGCCCGGCAGGTCCTGGACTCGCTTCCGAACTCAACCGGAGGCTGGGTGGCGTGACAGGCCCTCGTCAGGAAACAACAATGGCAAGTCTGAGCCTGGTGGCTGTCGTCGCTGTATGTTGCAGACCTGGCACACAGCTGAAAGCTTTGGGGCACGGAACGTACTGCGGACAATGACGCTGACATGCTGAAACTGCCTGCAGTACGCACGGCAGGCTTGAAGCAAAAATGTCATCGCCAGCCCACGGCAGCCAACCGGAAATGGGATGATAATGGCTTGAGGGTGGCTACAGTTACAACTGTTCCAGTTCAAGCTGGGAGCTTTTCAAGCATGGAAGATTATGGAATACAGTTGCTTTTGAAGCATTTAGAAACAAATCTGTTTTGAAGGAGTGTTGGAGCCGATGTAAATGAGAGGAGAGACATACGAAGGTCATGTCTCCAGCCAGGGGCGGCAGCATATGGCGGCGCAGCATGCTCTGCATCCACATGCGGCAACCGTAAGAAGCACAGGTGACATCAGATGCACAAAAGAGTTGCTCTAACTAGAGTCACGAAGAACCTCCAAGCCAGTGATCGGAAAAGTCCATCAGCACTGCCTGAATCTTGACTTGCTGGCGCACAACGGCAAGCTGCTGCGCAGTTTCACGTGGCCTGTGCCGCTTGGGCCCCTTGAGGGCCATTGCCAAAGCGCACGAAGCCAAACCCTCGAGAGCGTCGAGTGCGGCGGTCCACCATCACAACCTTTTCGCTGTCACTTCGGAAGCGGCCAAAATGGACCAAAAGCGACTCCAACAAGGTCCCTGAACCGAGCAGCAGCGTCCGCCACAGAACCATAGGCACCGAAATACTCACGCAGTGCTTCGGTTGTGACGTCCTGGTGGCAAGGGAGCCCTCAGGTTGCTTCAATGGGCGCAAGAGAGCGGGCACAAGGTAGAAAAGCGTCCTGTGGGAGACCGCCAACGAAGATCTTGTTTGAGCTTCTCTCCTCCGCAACTGGTATTCCATGCTACTTCGTGGTCCCACTGCGCTAGAATCACGGACGGTCGGGCAGGCATCGTCATTGCAACATTGAGGCTGCCCGCATTTCAAGCGTGAGCTGGTGACTGAAAGTTGGAGAGCTCCCGTGAACGATCTGAGGTTGCCTGCTGTTCTTGACCTTGCACACTAGAAGTCAGCGGCGCATTACCTGAAAACGAGCTGCTGCGACACGAGAATCACCAAAGCCCCCACAGACTCCTACTTGTTAAAGCAGCACTTTTTCAGGTCCCTCCAGTTCGGAATCTAGTACCAATAGGCTAGCCCGGACCGACACGACACTGATTGCGATGCATTGCGGTGCTTCCTTGTCAGTCGAGAGGTTCGTAATGGGTCCATGCCGAGCTTTATGAGCATCTCCGAATTGTGACCCAGCGATTACAGAACTAAATCTTCACCGGACTGTGCCAGCCAGCATCACTCGAGGCATCTGGTCTGAAGCCCTGCTTCAAGAGCACAGCCGGTGCACAGCCGGGGAAACATGGAGGAATCCTGGGAGGAAGAAATCCGGGGAGAAAACCCTGGAAGAATCCGAAGACCTTCAGAGATCTTCACTGCAGAGCAGAGCTGCTGCTGCCATCACGTGGAAACTGTCCTGGACGCGCTCTCCAGGAACAGCTCGCTTTACCTCGGCAGGGCTCAGGCAGTTGAAGCACACAGAGCAGGCGAATGCTTCCGAGCTCTGTCTCTTCCATGAACGCTGCACATATGATGCCAGGCCACGTCGACAAGACGCCCATCCAGCCACTGTGGCTCCGAAAGGGCATTCACCTTCCGCCCAAAGGATGTGTGTGTGTGTGTGCGCGCGTTGCAGAGTCATTCGTATTCATTCTCATCGTATTGAAAAACCTATATTTTTGGATCTAGCCGTGGAGCATCCTGGAGCCGCAACCTTCGACTCCCCAAATAGACTTCAGACACAAGCTGAGTCAGCACCAAGACGCAGCTGCCACGATGGAGTTGAAGGTCACGAACCCGAAGCCTAGACATGCCATCACGTCGGACAAAACGTGGGACACACGCCCATTCTGCGATTCTGCTACAGTGCTTTTGCTTCAATCTGCGAATGCATTTCAAAACAGACCTCCCAAAACAACATGCTTCAGCTCTTGTTCCATGTTGTTCCCTTGAGTCCTGGTGGAGTTTCCAGAGCTTCCGGGGCATGAACTGCTTTGCTTGCGTATCGCTATCCTGCACAGCTTCCTTGGCTTTCCGCATCCTGACGTTGAATGATTCTGAATGATGTTGCTCTTGTCTTCGTGTCTCCTTGTGCATCCCTGTGTGCGAAAAAGAGGGCAGCTGTAGTAATGAGGGGAGGTGCGTGACACAAAGCGCTAGCTAGTTGCGTAAACGACTCGGTACAGCGGAGCTTGCAAGCAGGAGTTGACGCAGCCCAACACCATCTCAACGCAACGCCTCTCGCTTTGCCATCTCTGGACATGACAACCTGCCGCGACTGCAGTCCCAAGGTGATTTTCAGGAGACCAGCTTGGCAAAACTTGGCTTCGGTCTGGAATGTCCAGGTCCAGTTGTCTGCGCACGCTATCACTGCACCGTAAGGCCGCCACTGCATCGATGACATGCCCGTACTTGGCGAAGTGTCTATGCAGTGCCTGTCAAGGTTCGAAGCACAAAAAGCAACGGAGGGAGGCACTCGCCCTCAACAGCAAAACGCTGTCACAGAGGTTGCATCTTCAAAGTGTTCGAGTACATGATACAACAGCCTCGGTGCATGTCTGCGCCGAGATGCCACCGATGAAAAGCTTGCAGGGTCCTGCGCCGATCAACAATCCTGACAATCCTTGCATCCTGTTGCCACAATCAGCCGCAACATGTGATGCATGCCTGGCTCCATTGGGCTGGCAGAACCGATTCCCTGCAAAAAAGGCAGTCAACAGGAAACGAGACGCTCACAGTGTGCTTTGACAAAGCTCTGCAGTGCAAACTGCCGACGCTTCTGCTGCTTCTGCTGTTTTTGCATCGCGATGGCAGGTGTGGCAATCTAATCGTAGGTTGGTCAAGTCCCCACGCTTCGATGAAGACATTCTACAGAGCATGAAAATGATGAAGATGCAAACTTTAGAAGCATGCTAGAAATATGGTGGTATGGCGATTGTTCCGTGCTTTGCCACACTGGGGTCTTGAGCTTGCCTGAATAGAAGGCAGCTTCAAAAAGGACGGGTGCAAATGGACAGCCATGGACAGCCCGTACATTCCCTCTGGCTACCCTGTCAAAAGTCGCTCGTCGGAAATATCAGAGCTGAAGCGCAGGCCCTCTCTGCCTGCGCTTCAATCCGCTGCCTGTGTTTGGCAAGACAAGATCCGTTGACTCCGTAGACAAGATCCACGGTGTGTAAACGTGTCACACTTGCTGACACTTTAGCCCTTGAGCTGGTATCGAATGCAATTACACTGAACACTAGCGGCACTAACGTAACAGGTGCTATGCAGGGCGCACACCGACAACTTCAAGGATCCAGCGTTAGCGCAAATTTGGTGCAACTTTGCCCAATGCCTTACATCTCGTGGCAGGAACTGGAAAATGCTGTAGCAGATGTTGGCTCCACATCAATTGCTGGTCACGGTTTTGCCGAGCACCGAGCACCATTAACAGCTCATGCTTTCCACCCGTACAAAAGGTTGCAATTGACACAGGCTTCTCTGCATACTGCTGAAATACTTCGGCTTCAGCAGATCTTATGCACAGCAAATCAGAATTCAAGCCCCCAGGACTCTTGTGGAACGATCGCCTCGAAGCGCGCGTGCACTAGCCAAGGCAGGGCCTTGACTTAAGTACTTTACCTGTCAAGCCCAGTTTTGTCTGCTTGCAGGTCTGGGCTTCACTGTGCTTCACTGCGTGCGCGCCAGCTGAACGGCTCGTGCTGCCCTTGCGAGGACAGACACCTCATGCTGCGTCTCGTGCCTCTCTTGTGAACTGTTGGCAAGATGCAACGAAGGCTATGCACGTGGCACCGACACCGGGGAGCGAACACGCGCGACTCCGGCCAGCATGCAAGGAGAGCGCACCTGTTGTCCCGGCACCTAAGGCATTGCAACTCGCAGTGTGCTGAGATGTGCTGAACCAGCTGAGGCTCTGGCAACACAGGGAGGCGCCCAGCCAAGCTTCAAGACCTACGCAAGGCCCACAACATGTGCCGAAAAACTTCTCTCGGAGCATAGACATTTAACAGACATGCCGCAGGCATTCGACAATTTCGAGACCGGGCCTGAGCTTTCGTCTCGGCATCGCTTTGAGGCGAGCAGATCCAATGGCCACCTCCCCGGCACTGGACATGTCAGGACATGGCTGAACACAGCTTCAACAAGCAGCAGTCCAAACTCCGTCCACCTTTACAAGCCAGTACACACCTGTACAGCCTGTGCTTAGAGGCGGGCGGGCGGTGCCATCAGGCCCGGCGGAGCTCACCAGCTTCTTCCAGGACTCATGGTCCTCAGCTAAATTTGGACGAGACTGGCCTCAGCAGTGACTGACAGGCATCACCGCGCCTGGGCAATCAACTTCAACGCACCTGAGTGGGGACTGACTGCACAAGTGCCGAGTGTTTCGAGCTGGCAACGTAGGTGGAGAACGGTTGGCATCGTGAATCTCACGATGAAGTTTAGCGTTTCCTTTGCCACCACCACTCTTTAGCCTGAGGAGGAGCAGGAATGGCTGGAGCTGTCGCGCAGCATTGGTAAGACTGCAGTTAGGATCGCTTAAGATTCACAAGCTGCGAAAGAAGCTTCAGACATGCTCCTGGCATGTGCAGGGCCAAGGAACTCGTCCATCCAGGTCCAGCAAGACTGGATGCGCCCTGGCCTGTGAAAGAACAGCGCCGTTTTCTAAGGAAGTTGTAACGAACCTGTGTTAGTTCCTGTGAAGAGAGGCAAGAGAGGCTCTCGGATTCTGAGCCCTCAGCGAGATCCGCTCTACATCTTCAATTGTGTAGGCATTGGCGAGGGCACTCTTCCTCAAAACAGCTTCGGTCTCCAGCAATGGCTCATCCTCTGTCGCTCGCTAGCTCTCTCGCTCGCTCGCTCTCTCGCTCTCTCGCTCTCGCGCTCTCGCGCTCTCTCGCTCTCTCGCTCTCTCGCTCTCTTTCTTTTCTTTCTTGGGGGCATGAGGGCCCGAGGACCCCCGCGGGAGAGAGCTCTCTCGCTCTCTCTCTTGCATGATGGCATGAGGACCGCGCGGGTTCGCTGTTACTGTGAGTCTATTATTCCTTCTGTTCACCCACCCACACCATTAGACCTCACCGACATCTCTCCCTCTCTCCTCTCTCTCTCGCCCTCTCTCTCTCTCTCTCTGGGCGTGCGGCGAGTCCACATTCACAACCATCACCTTCCAGTCGGCTTGGCCTGCCAGCATTGGATTCTCGAGTGGAAGCAGATGCTAAGGGCAGCGAACAGCAGCGAACAGTGTGCGACCAGTGTGGGGTTAGGGGGCCTTCGTCGATGAGGCAGACGGCACCGAGGACACGGCAGCGAACAACCGTGCCAACCTGGGAACAAAAAAGCAGATCCAAGGCACAAAAGGCACAAGACCACGCAAGACCCTTGTTGGCCTCTGTGGGAGTGTCCGAAAGATCAATCCTGAGCCAAAATCTTGATCTTGGTCTTATTGGTCATCACCTTTATGCAGCCCCCCCAAGCAGGAACAGCTCGGTGCCAGGCACATCCAATGGATCATCATCGCCGGGAGCTTGGTACAACTCATCGGCCTGTTCATACAATCCATACCTTCAGCCAACTCTGACGTGCTCCACCCCTCTCCGCTCCTTCTCGGGATCCCGATACGTCTGCGGGAAGCAACCGTAATTGAACGGGACCGGTTTCCCTCAGCATAAAATCGCTGCCCACCAGAAAGAGGCACTTTGCTCCACGCGGCTCTGTGCAACCTGGGACTTTGGCCGAAGGCCGCCAGCTTCTTTGAGCCCTTTAAATCCTGGGCGCGCAGGGCGCGCAATGGGCGAAAAATAGGAAAAAGGCGACTCTCTCTCGAGAAGAAAAACAGAAAGGCAGCCCCATCATTGCCTCCTCAATCGCATTGTTAGGAGCATCGGGCCTAACAAGAGCGGCTCTCGCACGGCGACGAGATGCTACAGAAGAGGTGCTACAGAAGAGGTGCGCATTTATTTGCCCCTGAGTTTCCGAGAACCTGGCTGCACTTCGTACTTTCGCAGAGTGCCCATGGGCATTTCATTCACCTGAACTCCCCAGCTTCTTCCCAGCTCAGCTCCTCCACCCACATGCTCGGAAGGCAACGGGGGACATCTGGGGTGCGCACATAGCGTAACAAAGCAGTAGGCTCGTCCAGCCATGATTTGACCTTGAGGAAGTGCCGGGACTCTTAAGAAAGCAAAAGAACATGAGTGTGGTCCGGATTTCTGCGATTCAGGCTTTCTGCTGTAGAAACGAGCACCGAAACTTTGGATCGGCTGTCTTTGAACATTGTGGTGTTTCGGGGCTCAGCACCAAAAGAAACATATCAGAAAACCAGTATCGATCTTCGCAATTATCTTTGCCTTGGGTGGGAGCCAGCCGAACCAGCCAGCCAGCCAAACGACTCCACCAGAAGAGGATGTTCAGAAAACTTACGCTGGCATTCTCAACCCGAATTCCCCACTTCCTTTTGGTTTCGGCAGAAGCCAGAACGTGCGCTAGGTAGCGATGGCACATGATGCCAGCGAGAGCTGTATTCCACATCTTCATGTGAATGTGATATGGGCCCACGGCATAAAGATCGACATCGTGCCACAAAGATGGCTCATCGTCGGGGGTGCTGTGGGTCTCCTCGAAAGTACACACAACGTAGCATAGCACCAAGCTTCAGACGCGAACGCAATGAAAGCAACCTTCCACAAAGCTACCGCCTCAGCTGCAGCTGGTGCTTCTGCAGCAGTCCACCTGACAGAAAGATGCTTGGAAGCATGGTCAAGCTTGCTGCTTGTAACTTTGTCTTTTAAAGCATTTTCTGAGTCTGATTATCACTTACTTCTTAGTGCTTTTTGCCAAGACACGGCCCAGACAGTTGCCGATCGAACAAGAACGGCTGGGTGACCTCAAAACAAGATGACAGGGTCAGCACGACTGAACAAAAAGCTGCACCTAACTGGATCTGCACAGCTGACAACACCTAGAAACCTACACAAAATCATGAGGGACAGCTGTATATCTGTCACGATTGTCACTACCTGAGAAAGTGGTTGTGTATGCGCTACTCGGGCAACAGGGGAGCCAGAACCATGCAGAGTCATTATACCATCGCATCAGATTGCAGTGGGGGACGCGAGGCCACGGCATCGGGGGACTTTGCGAAAGTCGCTCGGCGCTGGGTCGCTCCACCTGCTTCAGGGAGGTTCACGGAGCTGCCGCATGTCATACCGTGCATGTTGAAATCTAAGGCTCGGAGTACCCATTCAGCATAGCGCGACCGAGATCACAGTTCTCTTGTCTCCGGCGAGAAATTCGACGACTGAAGCACCCTTTATCTGAGCACAGAAACCTAGCCAGGGGGACGAAGTATAGTGAAGAGAGTCAAAGAAGGCGGCGAAGGGTGAGACAGAACTTGAACTGGTCTACGTTTAAGCAATGGTCGAGGAAATATTTTAACCTTTTTCTTGCTGCGTTTTAACCCTTTTTTTGGGGGGGCGGCTCCCTATTGCAATATAGAGGAAATCCAAGAAAGTAAATGCTCTCATTAAAATATCAAGGAAACTTAGGGTTTTGTCCGTCAAAGGTAGGGTTTATACCATTGAAATAAAGGTTATCCATTGAAGGCGGGGAAAGAGGGCTTGCCTATTCAATAAACAGAGAAACTAGAGGTTGTACTACGAACAGAGAGAGAGGACAAAGAGGTGTCTGCCATTTTAAAAAAAATAAGGAAAAAGAGCAGAGGGCTTCTAAAAGAGAAAGACGCAGAGAGGTTTGCTTCTTTCTTACGTAACAAATTTAGGGCTTACCTTGTTGAACTTGCACGAACGAACGGCACCGGGGGCGGGCTCAACCCCACCCCCACTGAGAGACCTGACGCAGCGGACGAGGGGTTAGGAGCTAAGTTACGGAACCCGCAAGCCCAAAAACCCTGACTTAACCCCTTAAGCCCGAAACCCTGAACCCCTTGGTCTATGCTTTGAAGGTTGGGCGCAACCCCCCCCCCATTTGCAAACACGATTCTCGCATGATGGGTTTCCATGTATGCCTACGGCATATGCTTCGAAGCAAGCTTGCATGGCCAACAAAAAAAGCAGGGGGTTGGGGGGACTCACATATGGGGGTTTCCGAAAACGTATGCATATGTTTTGAAGCAAGAATGGCTTTCTTTCTTTCCTTCTTTCTGTTTTTTTCTGTTTAATTTGTTTATTTCCTTATTTCGGGCAGCTCAGTCTTTCTCGACAATACCCGATTTGGCTATGTAGTTGGGGCACCGGCCCAACACTTTATGCTACCCCCCTCCCTCGCCCCCCCCCCCCCCCCCCCCCCCCCCAGATTCCGAACTTTGGGATTTGGAGCGGTCAACGACCCGCGGCCCAAACTGCGTGCATGCACATTTTTCAAAGCAATTTGGAGCTGCTTTGAAACAACGATTTTCTCCTTAACAAACCCGCCGACATACGAAAACACTTGCAAGCAAGGGACAAAACTTTGCCACATAGTCTGACCCGTGTCCTGATCCTGACTGTCTTTGTGCCAGAGAAGCTACGTTCTCGCGTGTTGTCTTGCTACATGTCTCACTTGCTACACTTGCATAACAACTGGAAACTCTTCCAGATGCTTACAAAACCATTCAAGCTGTTGTTTGGAAGCACGAAGCACAAGGCTTCAATTCCAAACCGGGCCCTCAACCAATTGTACTGATGGTGAACTCTCTCGCACGTGTTCTTTTGGTAGCCCAATATCCGTCTCCACCCTCTGACAGAGATGGAGTGAGTCAACAAACATGTATGAAGAAGCAAGCGCCTGCGCGAGCATACAAAATCATGCAAACTGCCATCCGTTCACACGGCATTTCGCCTCGCCGACCAAGGGCCCATGCCTGGCACGGACCTCGGGCCCAACGCTGCTGACATTGCGCAATAAATCAGCCTTCAGACATCAGCTCGACGTGCTTGACGATTCCTGTGCGTCCGCACGCGGAAAAGAAAGCCTCCTGACAGCGAGGCCAGCCTGAGCGGTCGAGCCATTCGAGCCACTTGATCTTAAAGCGAGGCTGACGGGCAGAACACGTGCTTCTGCTGGTCACCGCTGGGCCAAGCACAGCAGCTGCCGCAGAGAAGGCCTGAGAGCACATGGGACTTCCGCCGCTGAGAAAAAAGGGCCTTGAGAAAGAAAAAAACACAAAACACCCCCCTTTTGTCTTCTTTCAAAGAGAGTAGGCTGGGCAGCCGGTCAGCTGCCACAATGGGTTTGTAGTCCATGGAGAGCCAGGCTTCCGTGACCAGCGGCGAGTGCCCCTCCTGAGAGAAAAAATAAACTCAAAAAAAAAAAAGAGAGAGGGAGAAATCAATCACTTCGTTTTAAAGCTTCATTTTGTCTCTCTTGTAAAAAAGAGGGGCTTCATTGTCTCTCTTTTAAAAAAGAGGTGTCTATATAAACCTTCGGGCAAGCAGAGAGATAGGTAGCACACCTCATTTCATGCGCACCTCATCACACCTCTCATTTTCGACACCTCTGGAGCGAACAAGGAATCTCCTGTCCCAGCTGGAGCATAGCAGGCTTCATCGTTGGAATGGAGACCTGCCATGCACCGCCGCTGGCCGCCAGGGGCAAATTTCCACAGATAGCAGCCACGCGCAGCAAATGGGTATCCAGGTCGGGATGACGAAACAAGAAGAAATGAACTGTCTGGATGCCAGGAGGGCAATGATGACTGCAAGACCCTTGGGGGATCAGCACACTCTTGGTACCAGGTACAAGCCTGCGCCCAACGAGCTGTGACTCATTCCTTGAGGCACAAACAGTCGCCAGACTGCTGCTGCGCCGACTTTTCAAGCACTTGGCTGCATGAGTCCAGGTGACTCCTGCACAGAGCTACTCAGAGCCTCGTGACATGCAGCGCATTCCCACATATTCCCACTTCTTCCCACACATTCCCCCAGCGGCCTTGCCATGCCTTCGGTTGGGCAGCTTTCTGTGGTTTTTGGAAGTCGAGCTCCTTGAGCTTTCCTGAAGAACAGTAGCTGCTGGCACATGTTGAGGGCAAAGCCCGCACAGACGGAGGTCCGAGACAGATGCCGACTTGCTCCTGCGAATGATCTCGCTCCTCCAGCTTCATCAGCGACAGTTACCGCTGACAGCAGAGAGTCGGAAGCAGCGGTCGTGTCCTTTGAGTTGGTACCCTCAATGACTGTCCAGGCCTGTATGCCAGGTGCTGGACCGGAGCGTACACGCCATGAAACGGCACAGGCGTCGCCATCTTTCTAGGCTGGGCTGCTGGCCATCAGAGCAGCAGGGTACAGGACTCAGAACCAAGCAACTTCTTTCTTGGCTTGGAGTCCCGACAAGAAACAGGAACGTGTGAGAGGTCCCGACCTAATAACATGCCGGCAATCGGAAACGCGTAGACCTTAGGCCCAAGACCACCAACGTATCACAGACGAAGACAGCTCGGAACAGCCAATTCTCAATGCCATGTCGAAGTTCTCAAGCGAAGTGCTGGCCTTCACGACTGCGACATATTCGTGGAAAACCTGCACAAGCACTGCAAGATACTGCCAGAATACTGCGAAATGCTGCAAACTACACCAAAAGACTGCAAAGCACAGAGGGTCGGGAACAGCGCTGCGGAGCCCGCGGGCCAGAAAAAAGGGTCCAAGGCCAGAGTGTGGCCAGGCCTCCATGTTCCTCACTGCTTGTCTGGCCCGAAGTCACGAGGCCTCAGACATAAAAAAGTTAGAGCAAGAAAAAAGGCCCCCCGAGAAAAGAACGGCCCTGCTCGGCCCTGCTCTCGTGATTGCAGCTTGTCTGGGTGCGGGGCCAACAAGCAAGCAGAAGTCAATGACTTCCCCCCCAAATACTACTAGTAGCACCCAAGGCTTGTTCAAGCCATGTGCGCTTCGGAGGCAATGCAACCGAGGATGCACGATAGCTTCTGCGAAAAAACGACACAGGACAAGACGGAATCAACATGAATCAACGCATGTTCACAATGTCCAGTGCCTTGTTAGTCATTCTGGCCAGGCTTGTCCGGCTCTGTTCAGTCCCTTGGCGGAACCAAGCGTCGCGCAACACTTGCACAAGCACAAGGCGAGGTCCAGACGTGTACACTCACTGGCAGTGTGCCCAAGCTATCACCACCCATCCCCTCCCGCCAGCCAAAGCTAAAACTGGAGCAAAACACGCCATGCATCCAAGGCTTCGTGCAAGAAACACTACAAGTCCTGACCGTGAAAGCATCGACGCCGGTGGAATACTGCTCTCATGGGCACGCGCAATTTTGCATCCAGGTCGCTAACTCAAAGTCTCATGATATCCTACGGAAGTAGGTGTTCCAAAAGCACCCATCTACAGTATCAAGTCCACACACCAGAAGCACAGAGAAGCCAATTCAGAACCACGACGAAAACCTGGTGCGAACACGGAGAAAGCATAGCCGGGATCGCGGAGCTCGAACGTCTCAGACGGCTGGGGCCAAAACTTGGAGATTTTCTCTGCTTGTTCTACTCGCAAGCTCAGGGACAAGCCAGGTCCATCAAAAAGCTAGCAGTAAATAGACAGTAACCCTTTATGCAAGACTGGGCCGACCACCCCAACTTCACAAAGCAAGGAGAACAACACAAGGGGCTCTAGCACTCGGGATTCGTTATCGCAAGTTGAAGCCCGACTGTCAGGGACACTTGAAGACAAAGTGCACACAGCAAAGAAACCCAAAAGATGAACATGGTCCTCATGAGCTGTCCTTTGTTACTGTCACCCATGTTCCAGACAGTGTACCATACTGACTTTGAGGCTTCGCTTCAACTGTTGCCGCTACCCTTCTTCACAAGGGTGTTAAACGTTTACCTTGTTTGGAGGCCCAGCAGTCTGGTACGTGAAGTTGCGGCTATGGCAGCTGCATACTCTGGAAGGTGTGCTCCGAATCGGGCAGGGCCTGGCCAAATCCATCCACGATTCGATTCCTGAAGATCTTTGGGGCGAGTCATCCCGGCTCAACTATGACTACTATGATGACTCTACAGACTGTCCTTGTCTCTCCTATGTTGCCTCGACAGCTTGCACTTCGTGGCTGGGATGCAGCTTGAATTGTGATGCAGCTTGCACGACATATGTGGTGCATTGGGGTCCGCGCATTGGGGTCCGCGCCTAAGACGCACCCTCCGTGACACTTCCACTTTGATTAGAACACATCGTGTGAAGGTGGTAAGCGGCACGGCAGCAGGTGAAACGTGGAAGTACTCCGTTGCGGGCATATCCGAGTCGTCCATTGTCCATCTTGCTAGAGCTTTTTGAGTCCAGCAAGCGAAAGAGAGGGGATAGTGCCAACTTCGATCTCTCGAAGACATAGCCAGTTCTAGAGGGTACGCCATTACATCATCATTGCGAATCTGTGAATGGCGACGCTCCCGTCAGAAATTCAAAGGCGTTCTCAGTAAGGTGCAGGGCTGCATTGCGGAAATCGCATCCAACAACTCTGCCGAAAGGACATCATGCAAGCAGCAAGCATCGGACTGTGTCAGAACAGTGGAACGAACGGAACAATGGTTACCTACAGCAACAGCTGGAAACCAGCCACTTTCAGCCCGATTAGCTCCAGTTTGCCGAACAGGCGTTTGCAACGCTAGCTGTGAGATGCTGTGAGATGTGAACACTGACCTTGCAAAAGCTGTAAAGTCCAGGACCTCAGGTAGCGGCTCACAGGTAGCCAGCAGAGGCCAAACACTGGCTCGGAATTGCACTCGGCACATCCGTCACTCCGTCGAAGAGTCTAAACGATCCAAAGGTGTTGGAGATACGGCCCGGGAATCGAGCGGCGCTGTCACGAAAACCAGACGCTAGAAGCCTATAGGCAAAGGACAGCTGGTAGCCCCCGCTGCTATGGCCAATCAGCCGAATGTAAGCTCCTCTGCTGATACTCTGAGCGTACAAGTCAGTTCAGTTTCCATAGTTTCCATACCACCCAGTCTCACCTTACACATCCTTAGACTGATTGTTCCAGGGAGCTGCTGGAAGCTCACAGTCTTCGGCCAAGTGCCTCAACTTTTACCTTCGCAGAACTGACACAAACTCACCTCCAGCGTCTCAGCATGTCTCAAGCCTCAACAAACTGAGACAGCCACTTCTCTGAGTGGAGCTGCGGCTGGATCCTGGCAAGCGCGAACCGTGCAGCACGCCCAGTCTCACAGGGGCTCTGATCTTGGCTCCTCCTGATCAAAAACCGGCGCTTGCATCGCCCCAGACTGACTCAAACGATGGTAGCCCTCAGAGAGCCGAGGCAGCTAAGAAAGGCCATGTTGTGTTTGCGCGAGAGGCTTGTCTGAGCGCGCCACCCATGACACAAGGATCTTCACAGCTCGGAACAAATGCCCTCGACGCAAGGAAGTGCAGGAGCAGGCGGGCACACAAGAAACGTGCAAGATGTACATGGCCTCTGCAGCAAGTCCAAAGCTTCCTTTGACACTTGCGGAGGGTCGAGGGAATGTGTCACCTTAGGCTCGAAGCTTGAAAGTAAAAGTGACAGAGAACCCATGGACCCACCGCCTGCACCATGCCGGGAGTCGCGCATTCATCCACTCGTCTGGACGGGTTGCTAGCTGCTTGACCTGGCTTCGCATCTTTCAACTCCCTGTATCTCCCCACATCTTTGATAACTTCTAACACATTTCAAGCTTTTGCGTGACAGAAGCTTGCTCCATGTGGAAACATCTCCCGCAGCCATTTGCGGGCTGGCCTCGAGGTTACGAAAGTATAGCTCACTCCTCCAGCTCGTGCTTTGCCGCCCAAGGAGCCTTCACAAGGCGACAGCAGGTGAAGAGTCGGGGGATGTGTTTGGTTGGTTTTCTCAAACCTAGACGAAGTCGGAATCAACCAGAGCTGAACCACGCCTACCCGCGGGAGCTCTGGCTCGGAAAAATATCTCACAAACAAACACACACACACACACACACACACACACACACACACACACACACTCACTCACTCACTCACTCACTCACTCACTCACTCACTCACTCACTCACACACTCACACACTCACACACTCACACACTCACACACACTAGCAGAAGCGCAAAACAGGCCAAAACCGACATCCTTGCACAAAGAAGCACGAATCCGCACCAACTGGCACAGCATGAGAACACACAGCAAAGACCAGCACAGCAGCCTAACGTAAATCATGAACACGAGTCGGACCATGACTCATCAGAGCAGTGGAAACGAGGTCGACTAAGATCAGTACAGGTTATGCGACAGCATTGCAGCACTGCTCTGACTAGCTCAGCTGAGAACAGATCAGATTGGGTCAAATCGGATGGACAGTTTTTCGCGCTGGGGATCTGCAGCCCTCAGAGAACTCTCACAAACTGACAAAAGCTTCTGAGGTTCCAGAGCCCAAGCGCGAAAGACTGTCGATCCGCTTTGACCTAATCTGATCTGATCTCAGCTGAGCTAGTCTGAGCTGGCCGTTTTGTTGACTACCCTACACGCGAAACGCTAAAACCCTAAACATCCAAACCTGAAAGCCTGAAAAAACAACTAAAGACCCTAGAAACACTAGACAATCATCAAATGCCTGCAAAGACCAAACCTCAAACCCTAACTGCCCTGTAAACCCTTAAAGCCCTAAACCCCTTAAAGCTCTGAAGCCCTGAAAGTCTAGAACCCGAAGCCCTAAACGCGAAAGTCATGCACCTTGAAGCCCTTAAAACTCAAGGACCCAAAACCGAAAACATGCTACTTGTGTAAGCTTCTACAAGACCTAAAACACACGAAAGCCTGAACACACCCTAAGTTCTAAACAAAGCCCGAAGAAAAAAAAAAAAAAAACACCCTAAAGCTCTCAACCCCTTTATGTTGCAAACCAAACACAAAAGTCATAAAAGCCTACAAACCCTAAACCCTAAAAATCCAACAACCCTTGTTACAAACAAAACTGAGCTCTCCAAAGCCCCGAGGACTATGTATGATAAGCTGAGATTCAAACCCAAACCCGTAAACATTCAAAATCCAGCGGCCCCAAGGATACTCAACAGATCATCAACAATTAGGGAAAACCCGAAAAACCCCAAAATTCATATCAACTCTCAAGCCCGTCTTGGGGCGTACATGTACCTTGTTGGGGTCAGTTCAGCCTGTGTAGGGTTTCGGTGCTTGTTTTTGAGTTTGTGGACCTTCCGAGTGCGATCTCTGGCTCAGACTCTGGCAGCTTGTTTTGTCACACCATGACTCGGTTGTGCTGGAATGTGCTGGACACTTGCTTTGATGGGCGTTTAACAGTTTTCCCAACAAATAAATCTGCACTGACAACTACACAATCACCCCTTACTTTGTTTGGAAGGCTTATTGTGAACTGTTGATCTCCACCTCAACCTGACCCAACTTGAAACGTGGACCGAACCTTCCGCAGCTCAGGTCAATCGCTTGACGCCCTGCCAAACTTTTGCAAAACCGACAACAACTTCATGGATTCTCAAAAACAGCACAGCAGCATCAACAGTGACACGCAGAGTCAACCAGGTCAGCAGGACGGTATCCCAACGCTGTGTCACCCAGAACAACTGGTGTGTCCGTGTCCTGGCGAGATCTCCAGAATGCGACATGCTGTGACGGCTTTGACCAGAGAGTGGAATCAAAGGCCGGACAGACCAAATAGAACCTTCACGGGCTGTTCACAGAGCAAAGAAACGTGTCTTACCAGTCATGCTGGCATTGTGTAGGATGCTGCTGTATAGTGGCCAAGGGGCTGGTAGCAGAATCTGAGAAAGCCCTCAAAAAAGCAAAGTGCCAACGAAAGGCTCTGCCTGACAAGGGCACAGAAGAGTCGAACCAGAACGTTGTATGACATGCTTTCAGAACAAGAAGGCACCTTAGTCTGAAATGGCCAATCTGAAGAGTGAAAAGCCCAATGCAAGTAGCCTGAGCAGAAAAGCAGGAGTTCACACTAATTCCAAGGCCCAATTTGACCCGAGGCCTGATAAACACTGATCGCATTTCGGGGAACTTTTGCCGCGAATGCCTCCGCCAGCGCAAGGTCAAGCACGTCAAGCATGTCAAGCACGTCAAGCAAGTCAAGCATGTCAAGCATGTCAAGCTGGGCTGCATCTGGCCTTGAGAAGGTGGATGTAGGCGTCAAAAGCCAAGGTGCCTTGTTCAGCAAAATTCTCCTGTCAGGACTGCGTGTCATAGATCTCTCGCACTCTCGTCGCCCGGTCCGGCAGCCTCTATACTCTTCCTCACCTCGAGGAAGACTTTTCGGAATGCCTGCACGGACAGCGGCAGAAGCGGGATGATGATGCACGGCGCAGGGGAGCGGTAGCAGAGATCGTGCGCCTCTTGTCTTTTCTTGAACCGCCTGAACCTAAGGTGCAAAGAGCGATTTGTCTGAACATGCCTGAGCACCTACCACCTCTGGACTGCTGCTAATTCACAGTGCCGTATCAATGACATCTGGAACGTCGAACGTAGTAACGTAGTAAAGAAAGGAATGATTCAGGTCGAAACTGAACCGGACTTTCGATGCAAGTCAAGTCCAAGTAAACCTGCATCAGGGCATCACGCCAAGCAGTCAAGGCAGATGGCAGGTGCGGCGCACAACTGGCCTCTTTCTTTTTTACATCTGACTCCTCGTTGCAAAATGGAGATGAACTGGTCGAAAGAAGGGACTGTGCCTTAAAGACCTTGCCAACCTGCCCCCTCGCTAATGCCTATGTACACATGTCGTTGCAAAGATGGCCTGGTCCACGTCGAAGCTTCCCAGCAGGGTGAACTGTGTGGACGAAAACTTGTGAACCTCCACAAATCTCTGCGGCCGAGAGAATCACGAAGCGAAACCACAACATTTGGTCATGTCATAGTCATGGCTGGCATGCCTGGACTGTGCCAACCAGCTTCCAGTTATCCTCCCCAGCACAGCTTGGCAACACAAAAGGGCAAAAGCGAAAAAAAAAAAACAAAAATCAGGAGAAAGGGTATCACATCGTATCACAACATGCAAAAAGAGCGAAGACGGTGACCTCTTACAAAAACTGTACAATAAGCTCTGCCTTCTCCAGCAGCCGCTCTACGATCGCGTAGGGAGCCACATCTTTCCTGTGAGCGGCAGCGACTCAGCGCTAAGGAGGCAGCTAAGCACTCTCCGGGCGATTTCGGTACTTCGACCAAACTATGTATGAGACAACCTATGACAAATCGTAAACTTCCTCTAAGGTGAGGCCTTCAATACCAGGTTAACTCGGCAACGACTTAGCATGAAGGCGTCTAACGGTCTCGATCCACGGCATGAATACGTCATGTGCCCATGTATCCCTTACACACAGGTGCAGCTGTCTTCATGTCAACGACGAAGTCCACATCCGACTGACCGTTGACATAGCAAGGAGCTCGGTCCTGAGATGAGCAGAGCAGTCCGAGCAGCGCAAGCGCGCTGAAAACAGAAACATGCGTATCCCATCTCCTTGCGGCCTCGTGCAGGTTCTGTCCTGAACTTCACATCACAACTTGCTCTCGCAACTCATCCGCAGCACGGAACAAAACTCGAACTCCACGTCCAAGGTGCAGAAGGGCAAGAGAGCCGTAGAGCTCCGCAGAATTGGCCACTGCGGATTCTTAGATCCCGCCCCGATGCGCTTCGTCACAGCTTTGGTTATAAGAGCATCTGATGCAGATCTGTTCTGAGCCTGTTTTAAGCCTTTAAGCACCATGCAGGTAGGCGATACGGTAGGCGATGGTAGGTGCCCCACCAGCAGTGCCCAGGAGGATTTCGGGCAGTCGCCGAGCCGTCTCCAGCAGCCGCTGGTGGATTTCAGGCTTCGCTGCAAGAACCTCACAGAGGAGGCACAAAAAGAAGACCACACGACCAGAGGCAGCAACATGCAAAAAACACAATGCAGAAACAACTCGAGCTGTGCTAAGTTGTGTGCACCCTTCTGAGGCCAAGGCATCCAGTATTTGCCGATCGGACACTGTGCAAGTTGCACCAGGTGTTGGTGTGCCTGGCATGCACGTGTGTCTCATGGGCATCCGTGACACTATTGCAGCAATCACGGCAAGGCTAGCCAGACAGAAAGGGCATGCAGAAGTCCTGAGAAGCATCGGCTTTTGTGGATTTGTGGGTCACTGCAGGAGATCAGCTGTAAGCTCCCAGCACCCATCCCAAATCGTACCTCATCCGATGTGTCACAGAGGGCATGTGAGCGTTTAAAGGCCAAGGTTTTCCGTAAGCTCGGCACAGGAGGGAATCCCGCGATTCGGACAGGAACTGCCTGTTCCGGCAATGACACATCCACTGCGGCAAAGAAGAAAGTGCAAAGAGTCATTTGTCGGCTGTGCCTGGAAACAACCGGGAGGTCCAGTGGCCGGCACAGAGCGCACCTGGCGCAACCAACCGTGCATGGTTCGGCCACCGTTGCAAAGCTCAGCATATCTTCATTTTCACATCTTCATAACTTTAGAGGAGGCGCCGCTGGTCTTCTGGAACTTTTACCATTGCCTGCAAAGTATGCCATCTAGGAATTCTCGATGGAAGTCAAAGGAAGTCATGCGTGCCTGGGCTCCGCAACTCTATCGCCACTCTCCGCTACTCTCACCCCGGCCTCCAAGCCTTCTCTTGGCAGGTGCCTTTGAGATAAAGCAAAAGTGTCTCAAAAAAAACACACGTCGATTGCACCCGAGAAACTAGTCATAGCTAGTCTACTTAGCAAACTTCGATAGACCTGCTCATAGTCTTCTTGCGGCACGAGAACACTTTTGTGAAAAGACTAAAACAACTAGAATGAAGGTTACTGGGGCTCGTGAAAGAGGGTGGCGCAGAGTCCTGTGGGTCGTTAGGTAAACTACAACCAGATCCAGGCCAGACCCACGCACGCCGACTCGAGATCTTTGCCTATAGAGCCCACGTACACACCTGTTAATGTCAAGTCTGCGTACTGCTTTGCATCACACCTTCTTTGAAAGCTGTGCGATATGCTCAGGGTTCCCAGGGGTAGTCATGAGTATCAGGTCACACGAAGGCAACATTCGGATTCTTTCCATGGCATTCAATGGCCTCAGTCTCGGCATCGACGTCTGCTTGCAAAGCTGCTCGTGTTTCACCTCAAACATTGAACTCATTAAACATCAATCATTAAACCAAGCCTGGACATGCTTCATGGCAGTCCAGCTTCCCGCACCGCTGAACAGGCGACTGAGTCGTCAACCACTGGTTGAGTCAGCCTTTCGCGTGTCAACCTCTCAAACTGGACATGACAAGACGATTGAAACGTACTGCACAAGTAAGGAGCCAGCCTCTGGTGCCATCCCTGACATATGTTTACACCACACCACAGACAGACACAGACTGCTTGACCGGCCGGCTGAATTGACCAACTGCCAACGCACTGCTAGACAACCATGAACGAAGTTGGCGCCTTCGGTTCTATACAGCATATTGCCACTTTTCGGGCTTGATTGTTGCAGGAAGCTGCTTCAATGACTTTCGTGTTCGTGCCGCTCTGACCTCCACTCTCGGACGCAGCAGACGGGCTTGTCTTCTTCCCTCAGCGGACGCTCAGCCGGTGCTTCAATTCCAACTTCGTCGCTTCTCAGACCTGCCACAACGTAAGTGCAATTGAGCTGAGCAGATAGCTTCGATTGCGACCTGAGCTTCGTCGACAGGTCTGTGACAGATTCATGCGATTGCACATCGTCCATCTTTACAAACCACGCGATGGAAACACTGCCATTAGCCCAGCTGAGACGGCAGCGTCCGCTGGCCGCACGTTCCGAACGATCAGCTGCCGAAGTACCACCATCACTGAGAACAGCGGAGAGCTGGGTAGAAAAGCAAGTGGGCCAATGGACAACTCGATGCTATACAGATCTCTACAATACCTGTCGAGGGCCTGGAGGGACTCAACGATCGTGTCAAAGGTGTGCCTGTTTCCTGAGCAATGACATGAAAGGCATAAAAGTCATCGAAGGCATCGTCGTGGAAGTGACATGAAGAATCCGGGTGGAAGCACGGGCGTCTCTTCACCAGCAGGACCGGTCTGGTCACCTCTGCAGCGACCTGCCCCGCTCTGGCGCAACAGCCCTTCACACCCGGACCGACCACCACGTGCCATGTGCTCTTATCATTGCCCCGCAAGCTGACGCGGAAACTTCGTCCAATTTGCATGCGATCAATTGTTTGGCTTACCATCGAGGATTGCTCTTTCAGGGCTTCCCGGACACTTTGGCAAATTGGCCTAGAACCTCTGAGTTATTGGATTTTCTGGTCGCACTGGGGTTGGAGCATGCTTGGGCAGGTCTGGACAGTCTGGGAGGGTGTGCGATCTCGTTTTTCGATGTTTCCATGAGGCGTAATGACACTTCACTCTGTTGAACGTCCGAGTCATGCACAAACCCATGATGGTCGTAAGTGTCTATCGGCCCTCGTTTCTGTTGCCATAATGGACATGGCGTGCGAGAACCACACCTTCACTGCCACATCCCATCTCCACAACCTCGGGGCACCTGCACAAGAATTATGAGTCTTGCAGAACCAAGGCTACGCGCACAAGCTTCAGAGGCCTTTTGTCCACCAGCGGCACGTTGGCTGCCGAGACGGCGGCGCTCACAGGAGAATCCTGACACTCGTGGCCATCATGCAGTCCGATGGTAACAAAAGACGAAGACGAAGCGTGAAATACAAGCCATTGGCTGGAGCTGCTGCAGTGGACATGGCGGAACTCCAAAGCGTATGAATTGGCAACAACCACTTTGGCAGCCGGATGGTTTGTTTTTGTGATGTTGTAATTTGACTCAATGAGTAGATACAACCCCCCTGAAGAGGTGAGCTTGTGTCTGTGCGTGTGTACTTAGTGTGTGCGTGTGTACGCGGTTGCAAACACACAGGCTGGCTGTGTTGAATCGTGTTGCTGGCCTAGTTTGCTAAGGCTTGAGTGGGTAATACGCGCACGAAACATCCAGACAACCAACACGCTGATGAATTCCAACTGGCACAGGGGACTACAGCCGCACAACCATGCTCCGCATCAGAATTGATTCACGAACAATATTATTCAAGCAGTGCAGCGACCGCAACGTTATGCTTCGAATTCCTGTCCATGAGCAATAACACGACTCGTCCAGATGATGCATATTTATGCTCTCGAGTTCTCAGCTAATTCTCCTCATGAGAACTCAAGGGGCCTACCCTCGGCAAAAGATTGCAAAACTGTTGAACACATGCCGTCAATCGCCCTTTTTGTATGGAAAATCGTGAGCGCGAGTCGCGAGGCGGTGACATAAAACGCGGACTCTAACATGCCACTGCAACAGCTTGTTGTGTAGCTGGCCAGGCTTTACAGAAACATAGAAACGCTGGGGACACGTGGAGTACAGCTCCAGAGGCCGGCGCTTTCGCAAGTACAAGCTCTGTTGAAGCTTTTAACCACAGGTCAACATTTACAGGCATAGTCTACTAGGCACCATGGGTCGATGGTCTCGATGGGTGTATGTGGGAACCTAATATAACCTAATCCCCTCCTAATACAGGTCCAGTCTGGGCCCCAGCGTGTGATCTCAGGATATCCTCTTGGAGGATGAGCCATGAGTCCAGACGAATCAAGGCGGTAGAGGGTTTAGGGTTTAGGGTTTAGGGTTGAGGGTTTTGGGTTTAGGGTTTAGGGTTTAGGGTTTAGGGTTTAGGGTTTAGGGTTTAGGGTTTAGGGTTTAGGGTTTAGGGTTTAGGGCGGGTTTAGGGTTTAGGGTTTAGGGTTATAGGGTTTAGGGTTTTGGGTTTAGGGTCTGATCTCAGATCGGCCATATTGGACATCCGACTTTGAACAGCATCACATCGCAGTACAACAGCAAGCAGCCCCTTCCTCTTTCGAAGCTCCATCTGCGATCCGATTCCTTCCCTCTGCACTCCTTCCTGCTGCTGCCTCTTCTGTGACGATCTGGATGACTGGAGGAGTGACTGGACGTGCAACGGCCTGCGAGGGAATGGAGTCCGCAAGTGGCTGGGTCAGCAACTCGCAGATGGAGACGAAGGTTGGGCGGTTGGCGACATCGGGGTCCCATGCAGCGGCAACCAAGGCTGCGATTTGTTTGGGCATGGTCTGCGGAATCTGTGGACGCTTGCCATCGCGGATTCGTTCGATGATGAGCTGGTGGACAGGCCCTGCATCTTGCATGAGTTGAGCAAGCAGCATCCTGGGCATCATGCCCGTAAAGAGTTCCAAGTCAAGCTCTTTGATGCCGAAGGTGAATCCCAGGACCAAGCTGAATGAATAGACATCACTCTTCTCGCTCACCTCCCCAAGGAAGGCCTCTGGCGCCATGTAGAGCATCGTCCCTGCAGCTCCACTCTCACTGCTGCATTGCGCAAGAGCTAAGACCAAGCCAAAGTCTCCGACTTTCGCCACAGGCCCAGGGTTGGAGATCAGCACGTTCTCTGGCTTGAGGTCGCGATGCACCATGCCGCGGCCAGCGATGAAAGCCATGCCCTTGGACACATCCAGCATCAGAAGCCGGCGATCATTCACGGAACAGCTCACGCCGCTGCCCTGGGTGAGATACTTCTTGAGGTCCCCAAGCTCGCAGAACTCTGTGACGATCAAGAGCTGCGCAACGTTGATGGCCATGAAGGTGACCAGGTTGTTGTGTCGCAAGGCTGCCAAAGCTTGAACTTCCTTCTCGAAGTTCTGCTCCTCAGCTTCATGCTGGATTGCGAGACATGCAGGGTCGTTCTTGCTTTGCGAGGAGGCGGGTGGTGTCTCATGCCGAGACTAGTGTGATCTAGTGTGTTGCAGGTCAATCGATTAAGACTGAACTCGGATCTTGCAGTGTTCGTCTGGCATGAACCTCTTTAGGCTATGAGTATGTAAAATCATAAACCCATCCTTGTGCATAAGTCATCCACCCTGTATTTTAAACAGAAGTGCGAGTCTCCCGCCGGGCTCTTTGCCCGTCAAAGTCCCCCCCACCCGAAACCCAAAAAGAACAGAGTCTCCCGTTCTCAGTGCGCAGTGCAGGCGCAGGCACAGGTAACTCCCAAACACAGACCCCAAACCTTGTGTAACCGTGTTGAGAGTTTGTGTACCTTCATCGTCAGGGCTAAACCGATCAAACATCTTAGCGCGTGAACTGACATTCGTGCTGCCACATAGTGGCAATTACCCCATCAGAGAGTCATGGCATTCAAGCTGACACACTACGCGCATTCACACTTCGTGCCATCCCTTCACTCCCATGGGTGCAGACAAGAAAAGAATAGACATGTGGGGTTATCCGGCCCTGTAATGTTTTTGGTGGGGGGGCTGCCCCTCTATGGTAGCATTCTGTTGTAGTTATTGGCCTTGAGTAACAAAACAGAGGGTTTAGGGTGTAGGGCTTAAAGACCCAAACCCTCAACCCTGACCCTATACCCTAAACCCTAACCCTACACCCTAAAGACCAAGCGTCAAGCTCTTGACTCATGGCTTCCTGGCGCATCTTCTTGACCACAACGTCGGTCCCCCAGAGATTTCCGCGGAATACAACTCCGAACCCTCGGCGGGATCCGAACCCCAACCAACCCCGCCCCCCCCCCACCCACACGCATGCACACACACACACACACACACACACACACACAAAAGAGACCGAGACAGTGTCGGGGGACTGAAAGCCAATGGATCTCACTCCGAATTGGAGATAGTCCAAACTCAAAAGCTTCATTGAGTCTCTCAAGAGGCTCAGTACACCAAGGCACATTATACCAAGTTACATCAAGACTGGGAACCATGCACAGCAACGACAATATATTGCATCACGAGAACCAGTGCACGGCGAAGATGTTACTTGCATTCAGAACTTCAAGCAGGAGTTGCCGTAACTTCTGATTGTTGGTGTTACTGTAGCAGCAAGACTAAGTTGAAACATCCTAAACCCTTGGCAAATCGGGGATCCCACAAATAAAAACACACACACACACACACACACAAAACGAAAACAAAAACACAAAAGAAAGAGGGTACTACTCGGTGTGCTAGAAACCACCTTCACCAAGCTTGTCTTGCTCGCTGTATCGGAGTCCATTCGGCCCGAGGTCCACGGTCGGAACGATCTTCGCCATCTTGCTGTCAAGCAAGCCTAAGTTTCCCTAACCCCCCCACCCACCCACCCACCCCACAACCGTTCTCCATATACCCTTAAACAGCCCGTATACTATATAGGGGGGGAGTATTCAACCTAGAGGGTATACGGTTTAGGGTTTAGGAGTTGAGGGTGTGTAGAAAGGAGCAAAAAGGAACCTAGGAGAAACAAGGGTGCCTTCGTTTATTATTGCAGGTACATGGAGGATCGAAAAACCCCTCCCCCGGCCAAACACAGAAGGAGTAAGGGTTTAGAGCTTAGGGCTGAGCTTCCTGGAAGCCGAGAGGAATCGAACCACCGTTCCGACCTGGATCGCCCTGGATGATGCAGACGTGCTGGCCAACAGCACCCAAACACACGGCAAACCGGAAGCGGCCTCCAATACCAACAGCATGGATCACGCGGCCCTGATGAAGGAACTCACACTTGCCATTGTGCACGCGTGCTCCAACCACGTCTCCAACAGATACCTCCCCAAACTTGCCCTTGATATCGTCCTCGTGGAGTATTGCTTGGCCGGCAGGCGTGACAACACAGCCAATGGAACCCTTGAACTGTGATGCCCCGGGAAGGTGCCTCTGAAAATTCATTGCTGCTTCTGTGCAAAGGCCCCATGCGAAGATGCCTTTTGCTGCCAGGGGCAAAGCCTTGATCTGCAAAGTAAACACAGCAGGAGCACTGGTCGATGATTCCACAACTTGCTCTGTGACCAAGGATGCCCAATGAAGTGGGTTCTCTCGCTCCGCGCGAGCGTCCTTCTTGCCTTTCTCAAGCGTAACTTCCGGAACGTGGCCCGCTGCAAAAGTGAAGCCAGAAGGAGCCTAGGTTTAGGGTCTAGGGTATTCCTACACGAGATCCTCCTAAACCCAATAAGGGAAAGTATACATCCCAAGGGCCGACCGAGGAGCCGAATAAACATCGGAAGGAAGACTGGCCTTTGGGAGCGCATCCGCCACATCCTTCAGCATACTCAGCAGCTTCCTGCGCAGCTCCCCGGAGTCCGATTCCTTGGGCTCTTGGACAGGGGTCTGACCCACAAGTCCATTTCTCTTGGCTGGCCATACATCCTGGTAGTAGGTGGACACACGATACCTGTAGGAAGACTCATCAGTGTCACCAGCCCACTTCACAGCTATCCAGCCATCACACTCCTCGAGCAAGCTCGTGCACACTCCTTCATTGTACGCCGTGCCATCCTGGTCCATCCACTTCCAACTTGGCCCACGGATGACCTTGGATCCTACCTCCGGGGTGTCTATCAAACCCTGGCAGTATCTGCACACATCATAGTCATGCTTGTTGCAGCGCTTTATGTGTGCTCCATCTGGTATACGCACCAAGCACACGTCGCAACAATGGCCGGCTTTGCTTGTCACCATCTCTGACAGATCGCATCCCTCATGGCAACACCGGCGGACCGTGCTAGGGAACAGCTCGATATCCCACCAAAACTCCTTGCCATTGATTGAAGTGCGAACGCACCGCTTACTCACCTTCACCACCGTGGCAACTTGGTTGCAACAGTCGGCCATAGCCTCCCTGCTGAACTTGGTTCGCATGCTCTCTAGCCGAGGGTCATTGAGAGTGGGCATGTCAATCACATATCCAACCTTCATGGCCTTCTCACCGCCGGCTACAGGAACATCCACAATTTCAGCTTGCTGGCCCTTGCTTGTGAACGTGACACCAATGCGGAACTTCCCATTCCCACCAACCGTGAAGCTGAATGAATCATCACCCTTGAGCAGGCTCACCTTGCTGCCGGGACTGACACAAACTTTCACCAGCTCGCCGTCGCGAACACCTGGGAAGTTTCCATCAAGTTTAAAGTTTGAGGAATGAAAAAAAGGGTCCACCTATTATTGGGAAAATACCCACCTGGAAAGCTGCCCTTCTTCTCCCCGCCAGTGATGATGAAGCCAGCATCTCTGGCGCAGCATGCCCCAATGGATGGCTGAAAGGCACGGTCCCCTACAGGGCGAATGCCGAAGCCCGTGGGAACGTCATCCACAACGCCAAAAACAAGGGGTCCATCAGCATCACCACCCGCACGCACCACCCGAAGAAGAAAGTCACAGTGGTCTTCGTTGGTGAGAACTTGCGATGTCACCATCGTTGCGGTCCTGCTGATTGTACATGTCGCCACTTTGTCGCGAGCGTCGCAGTCAACACTCTGCAGCGCATCCACAAAAGTGAAACCTTTCGACTGTGAGTATTTCTCAACAGGCAGCCTGGAAGCAGCGTCATCACCGGGTTGCCCCATCAAGCCAGCCAAGCCAGCCATCAGCGCAGCAGCTGCTGGATCGGCTTCCATCAGTTGCCTCAAGGCGGCCGCTGATGCGTCTTGACCCTGTCGGTCCAGGATCTCGACATGCTGCCCCTTGCTGGAGAGACTGGCCGCACACCGGAAGGCGCCATCGCCAACCACCTGAAATCCAAGCACCTGGGTCGACCCATGCCAAATGGATACATTGGACCCGCGCTGCACTTGGATTTTCAGTGTGTCCCCGCTCTTGATGCCTGGAACGGATCCTTGAGTCTTTCCATCATGCACCTTCTGACCTCCACCGGGGTAGGCGCATATGCCGATCGAATTCGGAAGCTTTGGGTGGCCGATTGGCAGATATTGGAAACCGCTGGGAACATCACTAACCACGCCGATGATGATTGGCGCACCCTCTTCACCGCCGGGCTCTCTGACTCGCACAATGAAGTCGCATGTGTCCTCTTTTGTGACCACCTGGGATGTCACTATGGTGGCCATAGTGGAGACAACGCACACGGCTTGCTTGTCTTCAGTGTCGCAATCCACGCTCCTCAGCACATCTGCCCATGTAAAGCCCTTTTGTGTGGAGAAAGACTCCCTCGGTAGCTTCGTGGCCGCTGCCTCAGCAACCTCCTCTCGAACCTGCCGATACATCTGGAGGAGATCGGCTGAAGCCATCAGCACCAACGTGATATCAGGCCCCAGGCGTTCTGATCATCAGACTGTACTTAGGCTTGAGCCCAAGATCTCGCTCGGTGCTTGCATAATGGCTTCGGGCATTTTTGCTCTCAGATCTTTCATGTTCTGGCACCCATCACGTTGTGGTTCGTGAGGGGCTGTAGGAGCAGCCAGGCTACCTCCTAAAATCATGCAAGTTCCAGGACCCCACTCCCCCTAAACCACATCCGCCCGGCCTCTGGCACTGGATCCTTCGGGACTGCGCAGGTGGATCGGGATTTTTCGGGGCTCTTCGGAACATGGTTTGTTTTTTTCAGCTTTCGAATTCCTGAAGAGGAAACTGAAGGCCTGATGGCACCGAGACCCCCTTTAGGGCTTAGGGTTTAAGGTTTAGGGTCTCCTTCCAAAAAGGAACATGTGCACGTCATGGATTTTAGCAGCACGAGCGGACTGAGCGCTTCCGAGCTGAAAATGTGAACAGATAGCCGTGGAAAAGGAAATAGAGGGACAGCAGTAGCTGTTCATGGAGAATGGAGTGCAGAGGAAACAGGCCACATGCCGAGACCTCGTCCTACCAGATCAATATCTCCTCCAGCGTTGCCAACATGGAGGATTGCAAAAAATGTCCTGGAGTTCCTTCATTGAATCTTCCGAAGCTGCAAGAACCCCCAAAGCGGTTCCCACGGAAAGGAGGCTTCAAAAGAGTGACCGGGTAAGCCGGCTGCCTGGTTGCCATCACAGAAGCGGACCAGGCCCGTTCTCGGACCTTTGGCGAGCACGAAGCCTGGGCAAGGAGAACGAAAGAGCCACTGCAAAACGGCTGATTGAGTGGGTTTTGGTGAGGAGAATGGAAGAACTGCGACTTCAACTGAGCCGAAGCCGCAAGAGGAGCAGGAACAAGCGAGTGGCCGCGCCTTAGCCGGTAAAACTGGAGAGTGAAGAGGAGTTGGCATGGCATAGAAGTGTGCCACATTCTATGTGTATAGGAGATACACAGGCGACTCTTTTGATTTGTGTGCACTGTAGGGGCTGGATGGCCACCACGGTTTTGCCAGCAAAGACATATGGTGCTTCGGACGAGCAAGAGGATGATTTCTTCGAGGACACACGATGATGCACAGACACATCTGTTGAAAAGCACGAGGACAGCTAGCAGACAGCAGGAGCAAAAAAGACCAGAGTTCTATACACACATGTGTGCACGTGTTGCAGCAGTGAGATGTGAGGATAGATACATAGAGTGAGAGCAGGATGCGACTGGAGACACATGTCTTTGATGTGTATGTGGCTCAAACAAATGAGGTTGTACAGATATACAGTATGCACAGCACTGCGGTGCGTACAGGATGTCGAAAGGACCAGTTGGGCATGTCTGGCGTGGAATCAGTGGCGCAACTTGACTAGGCTGTCGTGACTGCGAGAATTTTTCCTCTTGGTGTGATGTAACCACCCTAAATTCTTAACCCGAAAGATGTATATGTCACAAAGCACACACAAGGACAAAAGAAATGCAGAGGAACAAGCAGGCGACAAGGATTCTGGCGGACCCGAAGATATCGACAGAGGAGTATATATATATATATATATATATATACATATTGCGTCGCAGGTCATCTGACAAGAGCACGGAGTCAGGACCTGTGGTCTTGCATAGTTCTTCGGATGTCCGGGCCCACGACGTGGAACTGGAAGACGAAGCCTTCTGGAGCTTGGATGGCTGGCGCCAGCCCATTGATTATCGATGTGATACAGCAGGAACGGGAAGTTGCTTTCGGCCAGGTTGCAAGCCACTGTTGGCGAACTGCTTGCCAAGGATCATATCGGATTTCATCTCGCACACGTTCGTTTATGCAAGAGCCAAAAGGATTTTAGGGTTGCAAGGACAATTGAAGCCTTGAAGGCAGACGACGAGTCGCAGGATGATGACCACAATGGCGAGGAGGACATGCAGCCGGTTTGGTTGAGGTTTCAAACGGTTTCGGTTTTTTTTTTACATAGATGGTTGAAGGTTGGGAGTTTAAGGTTTTTTTCTTGTGGTTTCCGGAAGGTCAAGAAAAAGAAGGAACGGAAGACCAAGAAGCTTTAGAAGAAGAAGACGGACAAGCAGCCAAAGAAGAAGAAGAAGAAGGACAAGAAGCCAAAGAAGAACAAAGACACAAAAAGCCTGACAAGGAGAAGGACAAGAAGCCTGAGAGAAAAAAACGGACAAGAAAGCTGAGAACAAGAAGGCCGAGAACCAGGACGTCGCTAGTGTAGCAGACGTGATCACCGCAAGGAGAACTTTTGCCGGTCTTTGCAAACTCCGACTCCTCAGCATGATGGAAGTCTTCTTCGAGAAGGTGATGCCTTTTGCCAAGAACCCGAAAGGTGCACCACAGGAGTCTGGCGATATATATATATATATATGTATATATAGTCGAACCATATACTCACACAGGTTCAAGTTATGATAAGCCAAAAATGTATCTGGGTCAAACTAAGAAATATGCTGATTCAAAGAATTGCCACCTTTTTGATATTGCCGGGAGAGCAGTGAGGTGAAGGATCAAACATTGGATCCTTTGTCGAGCACTGCTGATTTCTCCTGTTGGGGGGAAACCATGAAGGAACAATCGGAATGCAGTCGCAACCACCTGGCATTGAGTCCTCCCAACAGTTGCCAAGGGAAGGGAGGGTGGGTTTCAAACAGAGGCATCGCAATACCTAAGTTGCCCCACAGGCAACCGGTCGTTAAGCCTAAGCACACGTGAGCAAGCACACATATCCTTCAGGTTATGATCGCAGCATTCAAAGCGCTGATTCAAAAAGAATCGCGACCTTTTTGTCATTGCCGGGAAAGCAGTGCGGGGAAGGATCTCCACATGTTTCAAACATTGGAGGTATCTTTTGTTGAGCATGCTGATTTCCCCTTTTTGAACAATCGGAACGCAGTCGCAACCACATGGAATTGAGCTCCCAACAGTCGCCAAGGGAAGGGAGGGTGGGTTGCAAACAGAGGTATCGCAATACCCAAGTTGCCCCACAGGCAACCGGTCGTTGAGCCTATGCACACGTGAGCAAGCACACATATCCTTCAGGTAATGATCGCAGCATTCAAATCCAAAAATGTATCTGGGTCAAACAAAGAAATACGCTGATTCAAAGAATTGCCACTTGTTTGTCATTGCCGGGAAAGCAGTGAGGTGAAGGACCTCCACATGTTTCAAACATTGGAGGTATCCTTTGTCGAGCACTGCTGATTTCCCCCAAAAGGGAAACCAGGAAGGAACAACCAGAATGCAGTCGCAGCCACATGGAACTGAGTCCTCCCAACGGAAGGGAGGGTGGGTTTCAAACAGGGGTATTGCAACACCTAAGTTGCCCCACAGACTCCTTCAGGTTATGATCGCAGCACTCAAAGCCAAACATGTATCTGGGCCACAGGCAACCGGTCGCCAAGCCTAAACACTAAGCACAGATCGCAACCTTTTTGTCATTGCCGGAAAAGCAGTAAGGTGAAGGATCTTCTTTCAAAAGAAGACCCACCGGAAGCCACCCTCCGCCGCCCATTCCAGTGCGGGCAAACCACCTTAAAGCCATCCCACTTTCAAAACACGGTTAAACACTTCCACCCACCTGCACCCCTTCGAAACAAGTCCAATCCATGCAAAAAACAGTGCCCACTTCCAGTTCATTCAAAAGCAAAACGCCCACTCCAGACTCCAAACCCACAAAACCACCAACTACCCGCAGGTCGGAGAATATCCACGCGCTTGGAGGCCACACCTTTCAAGACATACAGCGTCGATGCACAACGAATGCAGTCCGCGCTAAAGCAAGATTTGGACAGCGCAGAACCCCAAATTAATGCATACATCAGGGTCAAGCCACACCGCAAACCTTGCCGCAACAACAATACCATTATGCGTGACTCCCACACACTGTTCCGCCAAATTTTTAAAGGCGGCCCACAATACAAAAGATTGCCTATCGTGCACGTAACTCTTGCACGCTCGTGAATGGAAAGTGTTGTGGGAGTTGTAAACTGCATGTTGCCGGAACTTAGGTTAATAAGCACAGTCTGCGCGCAATACAAGAACTGTGTGTAAGCGTGTGGCCACTGCATTGCTGCACTGCCAAGTTTGCTTTAGCTTTGTGCTTTGTTGTGTTGCAAAGATTCTTGCGCTGCGCGGAGATTGTAGTCATCTCTTAGCTTCTGATGTAGGCACGCGTACGCTCACTTAACAGCATTCTCCTTGCCTACAACTTTACAAGAAAGCTAAAGCTCGCTTTCGGCGGATGTTAATAAACCCTTTGACCTTGTTGCGGCATGTAATTATTTGAACTTACCAAAGAAGAAACAACACGGAGCAATGTTGAACTGTGAAAACACAGCAGCAGCGCGCTGAACCCTCTTTTTCTCACGACTTGAGCCAAAGTCATAAGCCGGAGGCTTCGTCAGTGAAACTCTTTACACACAGGTGAAAACTCTGCTCTGCCACGTGTTCTCCACAGCCACAAAACAAACTCAAACGTCAGTGGGAGTTCTCGGGACCTACCCAACTACACCTAAAGCAAGCAAAAACGTGCACAGTCACTTCTACAGCTTCCAGACACACATCCCTACAACTCAAGCACTTCAAAAGGCTTTCCCACTTAAAGCAGCACTCCCGTCGAGCCTCCAAGGCACAACTACGGAGTTCCTACAACTACACACACACAACTCTGAGCCAGCATGCAGGACAACAAAGTTAACATGTCCTTAGACAGGAACTTTCGTCTGCACGCTGCGAGGCGTAGCCACCCGAAGGGGCTGTGGGTTCAAGTGAAACAAAAGCTTACTAAAACTGTGGGGTGAAACTGCCGGTAAGTTCCCCCTCTCATTCCTTGTCCTCGGTTTTGACGTACCGCTACCCTCAACCGAAGTGAGGCCGGAATGTCTTTTGACCAAGTCGTTGCCATTGGCTTGAAGACTTTGGCCAAGGCAAATTGCCTGTATGCTTGCACATTCTCTGTGTTGT